AGCCTGTACTGCCTGCAACATTTCTAAAACTCCAGGTCTCAGCAAAAAGCAAAAGCTTTTATTGAGAAATTTGATAGATGCAATTATAATTTCTAATAACATCACACAATACCCTTTTTGCTAATTATCCCGCTCCCACATATTGATTTTCATATTTGTTGAGTCCCTTCCTTTCACATGGTAGATCCTCGGACCATGTTGGGCTGATAATGTCTGTGGGGTCAGTCCATCTATGGAGGTGGCCTGGTAATAGTTTTCTATTAGATTTCCTGGCCAGCAGTCTGTTATTTATTATGGACCAACCTGAGCTGTTAAAGCAAACAGCTTCTGTAACAGGATCAGGTCTCTTCATGTTTGTCTTTATGATGCAGGGCTGAGGGCATAGACATGGATGAGATAAAGCAGAATCTGATGCCGCACCTGTCAGCCTTTATATTTAATGTCCAAGAGCCTAAAATGGATAACTGTGACATCATCACTTATCAGTATAATTGTTATCCAAGAGACTGCTGCGTGTGATAAAAGCCCACATGTAATAGAAGAACGTTCTCAACCGGTAAGATCGATGAATAGAAATCAAATTAACCCGACATGTATTGCTTTGACCCCATCCAATGTGAAAAGCAGGGGTGCCGGCACTAAATAGAACGCTCCCACATGTTAAAAAGGCTCGAGACATCTGTGTAATGTGTCCTTTTTGAGTCACGTTAGTCATGTCAGTGAGCATTTCTTCTCAGATCAGTGATTCTCGTTCTTTAAAAAACTCAAAGTCGTCAGGAGTTTGTGAAGGCGAAGAAGTTGCCAATAAGGATGAGTCCAGTGAAGACTTGGTCTTGCTACATAACCTAAATGTTCATTTTTCATTCTAGACCTATATGGATTAAATTCTGTTGACTTTTGTACTTACATTATCCAAAGTGTTACCAACGATTTGAAACCCAGAGAAATCTCCAACTTTATTTAAGGTAACAGGAAGTTTCAGTTGAATTCCGTCATATCTGCTAGCCAGTTTTTTTAATTACAACTAATGACGGATTATTCGTTGCCGCTTGCTGCGTAACATGAACAAACCTTTAATACGTTACCTCATCCTTGAACGTGATTTTCGCCTGATTGGCGTCGCACAGATTTTCATCAGCAGTGACGGAGAAGATAACAACTCGAACACGCTTCTCCACGAGGTCATCACACTGGGTCTTTAGTTATTGTTTTGACTGAGAGACCCCTAGAGGACAAAATATTCAAACTCTAGCTTATCACTTACATATGATGAATGTATTCAAAAGAGGAATGTCTTCATTACATATTTATTACATAAATAAATCATGACCTCAGCGCAACATAGGCTGAATCTTTTGTCTTTTAAACAGTTGTGCCTCATCATCATCCAACGCCCCAAACATGATGCAAATAATCCTCTTCTGAATGCACAGTTTGTACCCAGCTACCCTTTGTGGTATCAATCAGAGGAGACCGAACACTGCAGCAGATGACGTTGTGTTTGTGCGTCTGAACGCTCTCAGGGCGTGATGCCTTCAGAGCATCCGCAGTAGATAATGACATGTCACTATGATGAGGCCCATCAGATATGATTTAGCTGCCAGGAGTGTGTGTGTAATAGCTCATGTAATGAAAGTAAAATATATTTCTCAACCACTTTATAGACACATACCAGATTTACTCCATAAGTTTTTTTTGCAGATTCATTTGAAGCTTAGTGGTGTAGTTTAATCTGTCCTGTAATTATATCGGTTTGTGGCTGTAGTTACTGTTTTTGAACCTTTTAACTGGAGCTATAAACAATTACTTAATTAACTGTCTTTGGATTAGAATAAAATGAACTGGGTCAACCTTTAATTCTCACTAAAGCTATCCAGATCATTTTCAAATGTATTCAAATCAATCAAGTTTTAATTTCGTATAGTTTGTCTGTCTGTCACGTTTCTCCTTTTCCCATTTCACTGCATTTAAACCGATTTTTCTTTTTTTTTTTTACCGGCAGAAGCTCTAATGGAAAGTCCAGTCTTTTCATTATTTGCGCTTGGCTCTTTTAGCAGACCTGACCTGTCCACACCATATCACGTTAACCCCATCATAATGTCACTGGTCAACTGGGAGAGCTCAGTTATTACAACCGTCGGTCCCCCAAAGTGAACCTAAAGCCTCTTGATCACCCCTTGTGGCTGGCTGCAGTATAGTTCATTAATCCCCCCTCCTCCATGTTAGTGGACAGGATGAACATTTATTTTTTTAATATTCCGTCTTTCTCTCCTTTCTCTCTAATAGATCGCCTTCTCCCAACACAACAGTATTATGGACCTGGTCCAGTTCTTTGTTACATTTTTCAGGTAAGTGCATAAAACATTTCTACAACTGAGAAATACTCACAGTTAGATGACGCAATCCAGAATTTGATCCACCTCCTCTTCATTCTCTGCTTGTCTCTCGGGGCTTATTGAGTTACTTGAGCCTGCGGGGCCAGTTCTGCTAACCAGAGTACATGTAAATGATTCTTGTTTCTTCAAGGTAGTGATTTCCCTTTTTTCAAGCTGCAAATGAACTGCCAGTAACCATTTAAATAGGTGCATATTGCTCTGCAAATAGCATCTAAAGAGAAGGCGTGGGTGATAGAGAGTATAATGGCTCTTAATGATTTTTCATCCTCTGAGCAGCGATGGAAATCTTTCTCTCGTTCAAATGTTTAAAATGAATCAATTGAGCTGTCTGAAAAGCACAGCAAGTCGGAGTTAATTTAGAGGATGCAAGTGTAATTGAAAAAATTATGCTTTAAGTTAGATATTGGCACACTTGAAAAGATTAATTGAAGCCAACCCCTCTGAAAGGATCCGCCTCACAATGCCTGCACTTCTGTAGTAAGCATGTTTTACCCATATCAAAGTGCCACGGAGTGCAGGTTGGATCTGGCATGTGTGTGTAGGTATTTTTAATATTATATATTATTTAAAAAGCCGGTGTTAAATTGGCCGATTCTCTTTTTCTTTTCTTTTTTTTTGCCCCTTATCCTCACATTCAAAAGAAGTAACCATAAAAAAGTCAAAGTGACAAAATGAACAATTTGCCGTCATGATAATTTCTACAGTTCCATAATTCCAAATGCTGTTCTTTTATTTGCATGAATATCACATTATGAAGCTGGAATTGTTGTGCTTAGATTTGGAAAGGAGACGCAAGAACTTCTTTTTACTTCTTCTCCGTGAGTTGTTTTTAATCATTAAGCAGATGTCAGTTTGAGAGACAATAGTTTTCATACATACCCTGACATAAGCCATGGTGCTGTGTGTACCTGTGTATCTGTGTGGGTTCATCTCATTTCAAGGTGTGCTGCCCGGAGTAGCTGATGGACTCACATTATCTGCGTAGGTGTCAGGGAAGGAATTGAAGACAGTCTTTGCCCAAGGCACCTGCCCATCATTGCCCAGTCCACAATAACTTTCCCGTAAAGCTGTCACACACTCGGTTATCGTCTGCCTGCATCTGATCAAATTACTGTTGAACAGCCAAAATCAGGAATTCTTGCAGGGAAAGGGGAGAAAGACAGAGGTTATTTTTGCTAAAATGTGGGAACCAGTTTTTTCGAGGTCACAACGCAGACACAGGACAAAATATTTGATTGAGAGACCTAAAAGTTTTTCTTTTGGATATGACTTTTATTTGTTTGTCCTGTTAAGAATTTATTACATTTCAATTGATTGAATTCAGATTTTCTAAATTAAAGGGACATGAATCCCAGTTTTCCATAGCACAGCACACAACGTTTCTCTTTAGCCTCTTCCCTTTTTGTGCGTCATTAGTATTCAATGTATTTTTTGGTTCTTTTGTCTTTTTTCCTTTTGTCGTGCAGGTTATACAAATTTTCCCGAGTCTTTGTCTGTTGTCCTTGTTGTCCGGTTTTCACTGACCCATAAACTCAGGAATAAGGGCCCTGATGCATTCACAAGCAGCTTGTGTGTCAACGTGTGTTTGTGCATGTGGGAGATTTGAGGAGGGATGGACCTGCAGGAAACATAATCAGCCTGGTGACAAAATGTCAAATCACCCCACAGGGTTTCGAGACCTTCTCGTCCGAGAGATGACGGCACGATTGGGAACAACCTTGATTTCTTTTCTGTCTTTATTCAAACATCGGTTCACCTTTTTTACACGTTTTCAGACATCGAGTATTTGTCTTCGTTTCCACGCCGCTTCAACATCTTAGCAACTTCACAAACACATTAACTTGCACAGTTCTGCTTGAAGTTGTATTGCAGTTAGATTATGATTGTTTCATGCGTTCTGGTTAGAAACTCTCTTAATAGGATGCTGTGCTATATAAACCCCAGGGTCTAATTTATATTATTTAGGAAATCTGCTTAATTCCAATCACAACTGTGTGTGTGTGCGTTTTTGTGTATATTGCAGTGAATTTACACCAGTTATGTGAAAGCACAAGAGTTTTTAGGAATCATGCTTGTACACATTCCTCACCAGTTTAATTCATTAGTTTTTTTGCTAAGGTTGAAGGATACCACACAAAACTGAACTCATAATAAACTCATATAATCGTCTTAAAACCTCAGAGTTTTATTTTTTAAATCTCACAATAAATAGTGAACATGTCCTCTTTATCTAATGCAGCAGCTTTAGTTAGATTTTTACAGAGCTTCTTTTGGAACGTGCTTTATTCTGCACAGGTTTGTGGAAGGGAGTTATAGATGTTATTGATTGTGTTCTGTGGTGATAACTTCCACCCACTGTTCCTCGATCTACAAAGCTCATATTTGTATGAACCTGTAGAGAACCTGAGCTTCTTTTTGTACATTTTATTTTTGTCCTTCAACACCCTTGGGAGCGAGAAGATGAGTGAACGTGTAACTATTCACAGCAGGAAAAGAAGCAGCAGCAAAGGAGATTTAAGCTCAAAATGAAAGAAGCCAAACATCTGTCAGGGGATTTTTCACTACTGTTCTCACCCTGACCTTCACCCCCCCCCCCCCACCATCCATAAAAAGAATGAAATTCTGCGTACAGCGATGACGCTTTAATCCCACTTCCCCTTTTAAGGTTCTTTTAAAGTTGTTACCTCTTTGCTTCAATCATACGTACATGAGAAGCTGCGTTTCCCAAGTGTTATCACGTCCCTCTCGAGCCTTATCGCCTTCTCCAAAGAACCCGCTGAATGGATCAATCAGGTGTGGCAGGACGCAACTGAAAGGCTACTCCGGTTTAAAATATCAAACAAGCGGGGCCATGAAATCAGAGCTAGTCGAGCGTCTCTGGTGAAATGTAGATCTTGGAACAGTCTCCCCATTTTAGAACGTGGCGCGTCCCTAAAGACGAGGACTCATTGGTCATGTTACAGTGTGTGTTTCACGTCCTCGTAGGATTGTTCCTGGGCATAAGGAACAGAATCATCCTCCCCTGTGATTCAGTGAGGAAAGATTAATTAAAAGGAAATGATAATAGACGCTCTCTTTTATTTTTAGTTTACACAATTTTATTAAAGGTTTTTTCTTTCAAATTAGAGTTTTTTTGAGCATTTTGTAAAATGTTGCCACTATTTGACCTTTCATTTTGTCCCCACATATTTTTCTTTGCTCATAATGCATTAATATTGAACTGGCTTAATATACTAAGGATGTCATAGGCTTTTCTGATAAGCAATTAATTAAATGTCTGATGTAACAGCTGCCGTTTTAAATGACTTGTTCGAGTTCCACATGTTGATCAGACAAGCTCTTAAAAAAAGTACAGAATGTCTCTTTAGCACATAATAATCTTCACAGTCTCTTCTGTCACCAGGATAATGAAGTGGAAGCTCTCCATCAGTCATAGTTTTCTGTCCCAGTAGCGCTTGGACTTTGCTGAATTTCCTTTGACTAATGATTTTACTGCTGGGTTATTAATTGAGGTAATCGGCCAAAAATATTCAGTCTTCTGAGAAAGGAATTCGTTACATTTTCATAGTTAGAAGGAATCATTTTTTTAATTATTTCAATATATTTAAACAAGGGGAAAATACACAAAAATGGAAATAGTGATTCTAAGGAAATGGCTTTTTTAACACTAGGCCCATTTGGAAACAAAGGAAATAGATTTTTACACATGAATACACCATCCAACATCACAGCCAGGATATTTTAGCTTTTATTTAGTTATTGTGTTCTCTAAATGTTGAGATAAAAACATTCTCTTGAACTAGAGTTAATGAGTTGAAGCTGTTAAAGGTTGCTACGAATGGGCAACCATTCAACTTGACATTATACATATATATATATAACTCTCAGAGGTTAGCTCTTGGTTTTCATATTGTTTCCCATCTTTCATTCCAGTTGCTTTCTGTCGCTCCTCCTGGTGGCAGCGGTTGTGTGGAAGATCAAACAGACCTGCTGGGCGTCACGGCGGAGAGAAGTAAGTCTATCAATCATCTTCTGCTCACACGTGAGATTTAGCCTTTTATTTGATGGTCAAAGGTGAAGAGGTAACCAGGAACCAAGGTTGTCGGTTCTAATCGTGGACACTGCAGCTAACCATGGTTATTGGTTATCTATATGCTTTAACTGCACCAGGACCAATGTTTTTAAATGACAACCAGAGATGTTACCGAGTTTGCAGCTGGGGCCTCAAAGCAAACAGACATTTGAGTCCCCATCCTCACAGATTGGAAAGACAAAGATCAGATGAGATCAACTGGCATCTGATCTTTAATAAGTGCAGGGGAGAAGCTGAGTTATATGGAAAATGTATATATCTGCTGTTTCAGTCTTTGAGTTTAAACTTTAAAACCATCTAGATATGGTTGTTGATCACTCAGATGCATCAATTGGGCTGATGATGTCGCGCTATGCAAACATCATCATCATCAGCAGCAGCGTTCAGAGAGGGTTTGTATCTGCTAACTGTAAACACTCCTCGAGAAGTGTGAAGTCTTAGGATGTGAGGATTTATTCAATCAGTAATACAGTGAATATTGTTGAAAGTAAAGATGATAATACAGATGAATTGTGGGATTTAATTAAGTAGACTCAGAGGGGAAGGATAGACTGACGCAAGTAGAGATACCGTGAATGACGGGTGGGGGGTGGGGGGTGTAGAGGGAAACATTAGTATTCAGTGATGGTGTGAAAGATGGGGCTGAGAAAAGAAGACGAGAATGAATAAGGGTGAATGATGGGATGATTGGCAGTGGAAATTAAAGAAGAGGGTGAGAAAGATGCTGTGCAGGAAATTGAGGAGTGGAGAAAACGTATGCAAATTCACCTGACTGCCCTCAACCCAAACTGTTCAGGTTCATCTCTGCGCAGTGAATCCCATATTCTGCTAGATGCCGCGTGATACCTCAGAGCGGGAAGTTTCATCTGGTGCACATCCAGCCTTATGACCTGCAGTTTACTCATATAGCTCCCAGAATTTATGCTCCCTTTGGGGATGACATTGATAATCATTGCATGTGAATTTTATAACCTCTAATTGATATATGAAAATAAACAAGAATGATAGCTACCACGAACTGACTCGCGCCTATCCACAGAATTAAAGTCAATAAAAATTAATGCAGACAGATGGGCTCATGTCATTAAAATTCTGCTCACTTTTTTGTGTCTGCTCTTGCCGTCCCTGTCGTCTGTTTGTCTCTGTCCTTCGCATGGAAATAAATAAATAGTCAAATGAAAACCCCCCATCTCATATTTTCAGGTGACTGAAGAGTTTTTCTCACAGGCTTAAAAAAAGGCATTTTGTTCCACTTCACATGAAAAATGTGAAAGCTTTGTTTTCAGGTCAATCCCTCTATGAATTATTCACCCAATTAATACTTAATATATACAGAGGGGTCCAAAAGCTAATGTGATTGTATTATCATTATATTTTAATTTGTATTCAGCCTTGGTGATTATTAATGATTATTATTTTAATAAAATATTTCTTACTGAAAGTAATTGAACCCTGTTTAACACAGATCTCCACTCCCTGTCCATCCTTTGTTTTAATATTCTCACACAAAAGATGAATTTCTTTATTTCAAGTATATTTCCTGTTTATTTCCTGTGGCATTTTCAGGTGCCCTACTTAAAAGGAAACGTCATAAAGAGGAGCTGTGTGTTTGTAACCTTTTCCTGAAAGCTCTTAACAGCCTCGAGGGCGTTTTTCTGTGCTGTTGTGGGCACCCCAGCTTTGTCGTGTTTCAGTAGAATGATCTGTTCTGGTCATTACTCAACGTGTTGAGTAATAAACAAACCAGTAAGTTGCTTAGTTACTTCTGCTCCTCTGATCAGAGTGAATGGCTGTAGATAGGGTACATGTTGGAGGATCTAGAGAACCTTAGGCACTGAAGCAAAAAGCTAAATCACAGTTAAATAACAGATTCACCTTCATACACACCAGACTATATCCAGATCGTATATATAGATTGCGAACAGTGTTGAAGAGAATAATTCACCCTGTTTAACACCATGTGGTTGGTTTTAGTAATATCTGAGAGTTAATCGCTACAAGGTCGAACAAAAAATTGTCCACAATCAGATATTTATCATGCTGACGTAGGCCTGTTTAAAATAATACATATTTATAACGCCAGTTAGGAGAAGGCTTGCAAGTATATACTACCTTCTATAATCATTTCTTATTGCACATTGCTGAGCTTCAAAAGGTACAAAAATCCAGTGAATAACTTTTCCATTATCAGTGTCTGGCAGGTGCAGACAGCATCAAGGCTTCTTAACAAAAATGACCAGATCTTCTGTCTGTAACACTGGCTGCTCAAAACATAATTGCAAGCAAATCCATCTACATGTCATACAAAAGCCTCCATTTGTTTTATTCAAAAGCTACTGGACATTAAATATATTTCAGTTTAATTATCAGTACTTATCTTGAGCCTGTGCATGGTGCTGCTGTAAACAATAACTAACTGCACTTACTGTCAATAAAATGATAAAAGATGTACGAATTTATCAATATATGGAAGAGTCCCTATTTCTAATTGTTTTTCATTTATGGTTTGGACCCAGTTAGTCTTACAGAGATGCAGCATGACTTGAGCTTCCACATTTGGACCTAAACACTGTCTTTTCTCTTCTGCTGTGCTTTTAAGATAACATTTTATTATGTTTTGATTAGCTAAATTAATCAAGTGTAATGTTATTTCACATAAAGAATTTGCTCACCAAATAAGAGATGGATGGATTTGGGCTGGGGGCCATCTCATACTCACAAGCTCCCACGTGACGTGAGGACATAGAGTGAAAGAGTCTTAATGAGGACAATAATAAGACACTGATCCAGCCAAGTTCCATATGGTTACTGATTCATTGATGAATCTTTTTTTATGGGTGTGAAATCTGTGTTTTCATTATTGGTTGGTAGTTGAAAGGACACAGTTCCAAAGGTGCGGCTTATGTGTTTGACTCGTTTTGGCCAAGAACAGGTGAGGATCCTTGGATCCTGAGTGGTGGCCGCTGCGATGAAAACGGCTAAATGCCACAGAGGAAGATGAGGTCTGACCTCTCGGAAATACCTGTGGGGGAAGCGGGAGGGAGGGGGCGCTGACATTTCGCGTGACGGCAACACAGAGATATTTTACACACAAACACGTGGGCGTATCTAATTCTCTCTTTTTATCTCTCACACACTCGTACAAACACACCCAGAGGCACACCTCGTACACTCTGACCATTGTGTTGAGTGCTGATGTTTTACTGGAACTCTGAAAGCACTTGAACATGTTATTGAGCAATGGTTTCCACGAAAAGCACAAACCTTAACCCTTCATCTGTTTATTAAAAGCTATCGTTAGCCCATGGAGGTTGTCCTGGGAGTGATGCTGGTTAAAAGCATTGGCCAGTTCGTAACCGATGACTTAAACCTGCCTGCTGTGTTAGAGAAGGATAAAATAGTGATGGGTGCAAAGGCTCTCTTGTGTTGTCCATAATGGAAAGTTAATGGCTCTATGGAGGGAAACAATGTTTCATCACTTTGGTCCACACTGAAATAGCTGCAATGACAACAATTACATTTTATTCCGACATTCATGGTCCCCAGAGGGTGAATCTTAGAGGATGCATCCTCAAGAGTAACACACCCATGTTGGTTAAAAGGTGCAGTCAGTAATTTATATGTATTCCAATGTCATTCATATTTGTGTTTCAGCCTCCTCTGCTTCTGACAGCTACTCTCTCTCTTCTCCTTATCTCAATAATCCCCTCTCTTTTAGGAGAGCTTGAATTTCTACTTTGTTCAAATCTTTGCACCGATTAAAAAAAAAAAAAGGAACGCATCGATAACCACGTACTTCTCACGTGTCCCTCTTCGGACTTAGCGTAGTCTCACACCCTGCTCGTTCCTCTTAAAAGCCCAATCAGCAGTCATTGATCGCTATAATAAGATTATCCTTCTCTTAAGCCCCTGGTCACCTTGATTGTCCCTTGTTCATTTTAAAGTTTGGACTCTAATAGTTTCCACTAAAGTTACAGATAATAGAGCGTAACTGTGATTAGAGGTTCATATCAGGTTATAGTTTACCCTTGGAAGATGTCTCGCTAATGAGTAAAGCAGAATTATGGAAATCCGACAAGGTAACTTTAATGAATATTTTATTTTAGAATTAACTCTCATTAATAATATGTATGAGTCAAAGTCTTCAGTGAGTTCTTGGTGTTTCAGCTCACACAGAACCACTCGACCGTACTAACGTCATCAACATTTAATACCTGCCACTTGTCATTTTTCACCTTTGCCTTTAAGGATACAATTTTATTTTTCATTTTCTTAAATTTGGATTTATTTCTATTCTGCAGGACAGCGCCTTTAGGTGCAGGCAGTGATCTTTGAAAAGGACAAAGTGACCTGCTTAGGTGTGGAATATGCTCAGAGGCAGGACGACACCTGGCTTTTTTATAGAATCCGATGAAGGGAACAAAATGCTGTATTCAGAGGACAGATAATTCATGCGCTCACTTGCCAAATTAATCAAGTTGCAAAGCAATACTCGGCATGCCCGGCCTTATCACAACTGTGAATAGCTCCAGCTTGTATTCTTGACAAAATCAGTCCGTCATTGTAGAAACGTTAATTGGTTTTACAGAGTTCCCTCTTGCCTTTTGTCGTTAACTTAGTATTCATTTCTAGAATCTCTCTGGTATTATACTGGCTCTTTTGATGAGTGTATTCCCAGAACATTTTAGATGCATGTGCAGGACACGTAGCAAACTACTAGTTTTCCCCGGGTGTGCTTCATGCTCCCTCCTTATGCTTTGTTGCTTTAAATGAATTCTGCAACATGATAAATAACTTAACTGCAATCTGACATTTAGGATGTATGTTGTTGGATTCCAAGCTTTTGAGCTGGAAACTGTAATAAGCCTTGAGCTCGTTTTTTTTCCATTCTGCTTTTATCTTTTCGAAAAAGGGCAAAATTCTTCATTTTGACCTCTGGTGGCCCAGCAGCTTAAATCCATAGGTTTGGTGTTGCTGGTTTGATGTTTAATAGTAGAGATGTACAACAATCTGATGCTGGCCTTCAGATTTAAAGTTTAAAAATCTGAGCTGTGAAAAGAAAAATCAATCCAGTGATCAATCTCAATTTCTCTTTTGGCTTCGTCATTTTTTTTTTCTCCCTTAGGGAATGATTCAAAAAGAGTGACTCCTTCATAAAACATGAACTTTACTCTAAATTCACTCCCCATCAATTAACTCTGACAGTACTTTATAAGGGGTCTTTTATGTTTTTGTTATTTTTATTTCAGTCAGAAGGGGTTTGATTAAGAAAATTAAAAGATTATATTAAAAGATTATTTTCTTATTATTTTTACATATGTCCCTTGTTAAGTCTAAGCATGGAATAGTTTTTATGTTCCCAGGACCATATTTATTCCACTTCAGAGATGTGCAGAGGAAGAGCACGAGCCGGCCCATCGTGGCCCATCATCAAAACTGCTTGATGTGCTTAGTAATCTCAAGTACAATTAGATCTTAATGCAGAACACTTAAGCTCATCACAAATCCAATACCAATCAGGGATGTCCTTGTTGCTAAAATGGCGGCGTGTTCAGATATTGATCACACACCACGTTGCTGATGAAAGTGTGGCACAAGTTGTTTTACAATATTGATTGTTGGGGGATACGATGGAAGCTATTTTCTGCAGAAATGGTGTCACTCTCGGGCAGTAACCCAGCCGCAGCGTTTCTGTGCACGATCTTGAAGAGGCTGTTTGCGGTTCTCTCTGTGATAACAAACCGTAATCTATATGGAAATGATATTGATAATAAAGCACCTGTGTTTTTAGTGGTGATGGTTTTTTTGTTGGATTCCATTCAAATCTATATTCTCAACTGGAAATCCTCATTTAATGTTGGGGCTCAGTGCTCAGTGTCAGGCACAAAATACTTTCAAGTCCTCAGGGCACTTGTGTGTGTTCTTTCAATGTTTCCTCAACAATATCTGCTATTGATTTTGAGCTTCATGTTGTAACAGCCCTGGGCCTGTGCCTGAACACAGTTTCTTTTTCAATCCTCCCATCTTTTCTCGCTCTTAAACCCCTTGAAGTATATAATAGAATGTTTCATGGCATTAAAGCCATATACTGCATCATTTATAATGGTTAGAATATTGATTACTGGTGCATTAATGGCTTCAACTGTGAGATATTTTTGTTCATGATAATCTTTAGTAAGTCGTGACAGAACTGGCACACTGTAAACAACAATTTTTCCAAAGTATATTATTTTACAGAGTTGGATTAAATATATTAATTCAATATGCTGATAATACATACTATTAGTAAATCTATATGTGTTTTTATGCTATAATGTAAATATTCTACTGATAGACTGACTGCTGAAATTCAAAATGTGTACTTTGGGTTTTTATACGTACGATGTGTATTACACATCAATGATGTTTATGCTATTTATGTGTATATATTGCGTTAGAACACATTTCCCAGCTTCTTTTCTATGTTAATCTATTATTTAATCAATCTCATTTGTCATCTGTGTTTGATATTATAGCAACTGATGAGAGAACGTCAGCAGATGGCCAGTCGTCCATTTGCCTCAGTGGCTGTTGCGCTGGATGCCAGAGGAGAACAAACGGAAGTGCTGCAGCCGGTGGTTGATGTGAGTCCTGCATGTGCAATAAACACGCACACACACACGCACACACCAATGATCAAGTTCATGCCAATACAATAAATGCAGTGAATGTGTGGCTGCATTCCTTAAACATCTTGCAGGAGCTCTGCATGCTGATACTGTAAACATTTTAATGTTATAAGGTCCAAAACAACCAAAAACATTTGTCCACGTAACCTGGACAAACCCTCCTTATGACGTCTTTTCTCTGGGATCTGATACGAGCTACAGAACGTCATTGAGTTTTGTAGTGCTCCATAATTAGACCTCATTGTGCTGTGCTCATGCCCACCACTCGCAATATGTCAGCCTCTTGTCCACTCCGCACATCAATAAGAAATATCTCACGGTCCACTCCTCCCATGTCCCTCTCCTTTTGATATGAATTGTCCTCTGCAATCAAGGTCGCAGAATCACTGACAATTTTCAAGCGATGTTGAGGAAAATTGACTTTCATGTGAAATATTGTCAAACCAAGATTTTGAAAACATTTTAACTGGATTTTTTGTCAATATATCAATAGATGTTTATGATCCCTGCATGTCATGTATCGTTTCCATTTACCAAATTTACGCTTTTTGTTTATTTACTTGGAGTATAACTTATTATTTAATTCTCAAACCTTGCATGCTAACATGCGTCTGCACATAGGAATTATTTTGTAATGTCCTGTTGCCTCCTTCCATATAAACAGAGTTTTGAAGACACATGGCAATAAGCACTGTCTGGGGCTGAATGCCACACGGGATAAAAGCTTAGTCCAAAGCAATATGAAGAGCTGCATCCTCAGATTTGTTTCCTTAACCAGGGCCGGCTCTGTGTCACCTGCTGCGAAGTGAAATGGTATTACTGTGGCAACCAACAAGGAAGCACTACATTAGCTATTAGTGTAGCGCTGAGTGGGTCTCACCGTGCATTATGGTATTTTGAAGGGCAATGTAAAGGGAGAGAAACAATGCTTCTTAGATCTCTGAGTGCACTTCACAGAACTATTAAAGCAGTAATGTATAATCTGAATCTGAGTGGTGCTGGAAACCTGCTTTTTTTAATCGAGTAAATTGTTTATTGCAGTGGAACGTGTGTCCTTGTGTTATATGATTTATCCCAGTCGTCCCTTCCCGGCACAAAAAGGTGCATTAAGGTAGATACGTAGCATCCACTTGAGGGTCCTGCAGTGAAGAACCGTCCCAAGCTGTTTTAGAAACGATAACCGGAGAAAAACACCTCCTGTTTCTCGACCCCTTTCAAGATGCAGAGTGAACCGTTGAGTGCTTGAGTTTCTCTTAGATGTCCGTGCAGCTTTTAAGGAAGTTACAGTCTAAGTGTTGCTGCAGCAAATACCTGAGAACTTTGTTGTTTTGGGAAGCAATTTACATGCCTGTGTCCAAAATGAATTTCACACATAATTGTCTGGCGAACGTTTTTCAGTAGCTGCTACTGCCGCACAACATGAGGTACATTGTACATTCAGTATAAACAAGCAGCTTTCCTGCCTCATTATAGCCTGAATGTATTTTAAAACATTTTTCTACGATGACCTTCACCAAGCAGCTTATATTTATATGTTGCTTTGTTAATGATTTGCCAAACTTTCCAGTAGCTTCTAGCGGCAGATGAATCATTTAGTAATTCAATGTATTTGAAGCTCCCAAAAATATTTGCATTATTGGGATACACCAGAATATATTTAATAGGGAAAAAGCACATAACCATTTTTTTTACACATATTTTGAAAATCCACATGGTTTGAAATGTGTAGATTCATATGTTGGACCACATGCAGCTCCATCACGTGCCAGGCGAAGGTGAACCATATGATACGAGCCTTAATTCTCTTTTATAAAGGTTAATTGTTCAGCATCTGGCACCACTTGGCTGATGGAAGTGTTTGTTGGTGTCAAAGAGGACACTGACGCCATCACAGCTTTGCTATTAGTTTCACCAGCTCTGTTTATACAAGGTTTCTTACTTATTCTCTCACAAACATGTGAGCAGGCACAACAACTGCATGCATATATACAGAAAGAGTTCCACACTAATAACTGATGAAGCACTCACAGGAGAACTAGAGGCAGAAGAGCTGCAGCACCAGAATTTCCCCTTGCACTCTCGCCAACACATGAAAACATTGAAGACCTTCCTCTGTGACTGTCCTGCCAGCGCTGCTCTCACTGCATTACTTAGTACCAGCTCTCTGTCACCAAAACTTTGCCGACCCTCCAGCTGGTCTGAGAAAAAACCACCACAGCTCTTCTGCCAATTGTCTCCATTTCTGTGTTGGTCGAAGCCCCCGGGGTGATGGACATTGCTTTTACTGACCAAGATGGCAGCAGTTGTTGGGCAGAGAGCCGGTCGGGCTCCAACACTGAACTGATGTCACAGCTGTCTCTATTTGCCATGGCTGGCATTCAACATATGGAACCACTAACAGACAGCGAGTATGATGGATGACACCTGTCAGCAGGGGGAAACGAAAGCAGATATCTTGTGTGTCTGTGTGTTGGTGTGTTCCTATGGGTGTGTGTGTGTATGCATATTTATTTGCTTCGAAGGTTATGAATGACCATCATACAGTCCTTCTGCTTGATTAATGCAGAACTGCAGGACGTGTAAACCGTCTTTGGAAGATATGACATGGACAGAAGAAATTAGCTCATGTGTTTGTTTTCCTCTGTGTTCTATGAATACTGTCTTCTCAGTGAGCGTGAAGGAAGAAGTTCCTTTAACTTTGCTGTCGTTTCCCTTTCACACAAACACAAATGTGTTGTTCATGCATTGATGTGACAGTAGTTTCGTGGTTCTGTGCAGCTCAAGAAAAGCAGAGCACGCAATGTAACAAGGTCATGTCATCTGGTCATGTCATTGAAAGTCACTACATCAAGGAAACATTATTTTCCACCAAGTTACCAGAAAAAACACAGCATTTCTAATGATGCTAAAAATATCAACTAAATGAGCCAGTTCCAGATTAACGGCGCTGATGGTGGTGATACTGTACAGTTTCTCCATTTTGTTTGGAACAGCTGCAGTGAATCATAGAAATGTAACTTACAGTGGAATCTGCTTTTGTCTGAATTCAGCAAAGGTTCAATTAGTTCCCTTTGCATGAAAGTAGCTCATATTCATTAGTAGAATCACTTGAATGGTCATGAAACGACTGTCAGTTTAATTTCCCTGTGTACATTGTGTCTGCTGTAGTGCTAATGTCTCCGGGCAGATGCATGTGAGCATTGCTTCGAAGAGACAGGAGCTGAGACCAGAGTGACCAGCATGAGGAAAGTTTTCTCAACATTAGAGCATGAAGAAGATTTTAAACTGATAACAAATGATCCACCTGAGCAGAATATGTCTCCTGTATTTAAACTGTTTATATTCAGCACATCAAGGTTTAGTTTTTTCTGTTTCCACCACAGGAACAATATCACAAATTCCAGTTTTTAATCCAAATGTTCCTGATTCTCTCGGGTTTTAATGAATGTGCTCGTACGTCACTGTTTTCTCCCATTTCACTGCCTCTTTCATCTCCATTTTAGATTCAGGCATGACACAAAGGAGAAAAAAAAAAGTCAGTTCTATTCAGACATGTTATTATTCCCCAATTTCTCTCCCCTCTCCCGATCCATGCTGTGAAACCCTTGGCATTCATTATCAGGGTGACATGTTTTTCACGCTTGAGACGAGCAGTTGTGGCCATTAACTCCGAGGGTAGGTCATTGCCTCAACACGTGGGCTTGTCTGACAGGGGACACGCTCAAGTGTTTGTGTTGTGTGACCAATCAAATCATTTGTCTCTCGCGTCTTAAACGCAGCGACTCCGGCAGAAAATATCAGTGACCATTGTTCTGTCTGATCCAACGAAGGAAAAAAAAAAAAAGGAAAGGGAAATTCAACATCTCGAGTGGCGCTGCAGAAAACAACTCGAGGCTTTTCAAGTGGGACTGTGAGACATCACATTGATTTAAGCTTGGTTGGTAAAGCAGAGGTACGACAACCAACAGGTCCTGGATTCTTATACATATTGAGCCAATATAAATCTGAATAAATAGATTATCTTCTCCTCTTGACTCTCTTCCGTATAGAAGTGGTAAAGAGTTGGGTTTTCTTTCTCCGTCTCTTCTCAGGGTCTCCCTAAACCTGTTGCGATGGAGCCGTGCTCAGGAGGGAAAGCCGCCGTGTTGACCGTCCTCATGCGTCTGCCCTCTGGGACGTCAGACTTACCTCCACCAGGACAGTCAGGTGCAGTAAAGACAAACACTGTGGACACTTTGTTTTTCTTGTTGTGGCTGAAATGTTTAATTCCTTAGTGTAAATTAGAAGGAGGTGAAAATCACACGTAATGGTTCTGAATTTGGTGAGTTCAGAATAGAAGCGACTGTTTAAAGCCAATTGTAAAATTATGTGAATTGTTTTATACGACATCGGCAACTTTTGCAATTTCTGCCGACTTTTCTCAGTCCGAACATCTTTTTCCAACAACACAATTAGCGAAAGCAAAAAAAGTTCATTTGGGTGCAATGTTTTTAATTTCAATCATCTGGTGATAAGAAACCGACTCATGATTAATTTCAAATTCTCAAAACAAACAAAACAATATGTGTGTTTTTCACCACTTTCATATTTTGTTTTCTTTCCTCCTCTTCAGGAATCATCGTTGCCAGTGCGCTCATAGACATTTCACAGCAGAAACCCTCAGATTTTAAGGACAAGTCCCAGGCTCTGAAGAACAGGAAGGCCCTTCCTCCCGCACACCAAGGCACCTGCGTTTGAGACTCGACTCATCAATCCACCGGCTCCCTTTCTTATGCCATCTGAGGTCGCGTCGCACCAAACCCGCACAGTTCCCGCTGCTTGGAAACATTTTCCAGAGACGAGAGATGGCCACATGTAGAAGATTTCATCCAGCTGCTACCACTGAAGTCCCACGAGCACAACACTCGTTACCTTTTCTGCCCCTTTTACTCTGCTCTGCATATTTCAGCCTCATAAATCCTCCTCCAGCCTGTGTGACGTTCTCCTTCACCTCCTGGGCTCTAACTTCTCTCTGAGAGGGGACCCACCTGGTCGCACCATCGCAGATAGATTCATCGGGAGGGTCCGCACCTTGTGACGCTTCAGTCGTAAATGCTTTCGTGTCACCTCATTGTCCTTTTGCTCAGCATGAGGGAAAAGCAAATGTGTCTGCATTCGGTTGTTTAAAAGTCAAACTGATATCCCTCACACTGAGTTGGAAAAAAAATCAGAGGATTGAAAATAGTAGATTTCCAGAACACGCTGCCTATGAGGGGTTTTGTCTTATTTTTTCTTGCTTGCTACAAGCTACGGTGCTAAAGCATTTAATGACGAGTCTGACTCTTAACTCAGTTTTTTGCAGTATTGACTGAATCCATTCTGCCTTTCTGTGGGGAAAGCTATGTGCCATGACAAGACTCTTTTTTAAAACCACATGAAAGTGTTTTGACAACAGAGTGTGTTATGTCTCACCACGTTGTCAGCTCCCATCAACGATCTCTCTTTAAGCATTTGCCTGCACACACGTATCATCCACCCAGCTGAAGCGAAAGTCTGTATTTCCTGCGGAGGACGTGTACAAATGCTGCGGAGACACGAGACTGCAATCACCACGGGCGGCACGCGGGGGAGACAAATCGTCAAAGTAAAAGCATGGGAGACTCGAAGGAAAGTTGAATGTTACAGAAATGAAGAAGATTCATGACAGAATAACACTGACGTTCTGGTTCATTCTTTGCTGTAGTTTGTAATTGTGTCATTTGCTGTGCAACTCGGACATGAGCCTTTTGAACTTGCCTTCGGATTGATGTGGTTCTGAGGCCGTGCAGGGGAAAGACGTCTGCTTGACCTCAGCGGAGCGGGGACTTCATGCTCCTCGGGCTGTTTACTCGTCTGTTTTCTAATTTTCTTTTGAAGCTACGACTTTATTTCCACCTTTGAGTACATGGAGATGTGTTACCTTTTCTAATGCCTTGGCTTTCCATGAACTCCTTCTGGAGGGGGGGCATGTTGATCTGCAGAATTTTCAAAGCTGTCAACCATTTTTAGCCCGACCTCCATCCTGAGCTGTACAGTGTCTCGTTGGAACAAATGTGAGTCTTTGTCACTCCTGTCTCTTGAGAGTTCATGTGTTTGTCAGGTTTTTATGACAGATCGGGAAGAGAAGATCATTTATTTTAGGCCTTGTCCCCTGTTACTATTATATCGATGATAAATTGTAAGTCTTTTGCTACACTTGTGAAAAAAAAAAAGCGTTTCTGTTGATATTTTTTTGTTTTGATATTTAACAGATTCCTGTGTAATAGCGCATTTAACTTGATTTTATTCTTGACTTCAACCAGTTGTTTTAATGTCGACTGTTACTTGCATCATGCATCTTTGAGGACTTAATGGGCATTGTCTTGCTTTTTGTTGTGGTCATTTTTGATACATTTCATGAGGATCGTACGCCAGCTAATGTGTTTTCATTTTGTGTTTTTTAGAGGAATCCTATAACAGTGTCATTACACAGGAATCAGGGTCTCACTGTACCGTGAATAAAAAAAAAAAAGAAGATGAGAAACTGCATATCAGTAATCTTCAGTGTATTTTAAAGATGGACAAGATGCCAGAAAATAAAAAAAGACCTGAAAACCATTTGTTCTCTCGAGTCTTCTCACACATCAAGTGTTCATGGGACAGGGTTTGAATTCTAAGGTATGTTTCTTGTCTTTCCCTCTGCTCCCGTGTGCGTAAACATTTAATTTGTAATTGGTGGCGGGGGGGGGGGCTCGCATTTGAATGAGGATGCAAAGAGAAGGGATGCAGGCTGCCAAAGTGCTACTCTACATAATCCTCACTTACACACATTGTATTCATTAGCTGCAGGCGCTCTCGGAGAAAAGCCACTCGTGCCCTAAAGCAGAGCTCTCCGTGTACTGCACTGATGGTTACAGCAACAAACCTTAAACCCATTTAGTGTCACTAAGTGTGAAGGTCACATGTATGTTTTGTAAATAAAGACCTCATATTTCCCCTTCAGACCAGTTGTGTCAAACTGACATGTTGCTTTTAAATCTCTCCGGTTGCAGCAGGTTAGTTAATCTGTGCCCGTCCCCTCAGTTTGTTAAAAGTCGATCTGTACCTGCCCTGCGTGAACTTCCAGCACGCGTCAGATGGGAGGTGACAGGTGGTGTGAAACCGTCACCGTGCTCGTTGCTGCTCGGCTCTGACAGATCCGCTCCTGCTGCTTCGCTGACGTTGAGAAGAGACGCCGTGAGATGTTTTTAAAATTGGTGCCACGTGAGCATGAATACTCCCAAAAACCAAATCACTAGTTGCATCAGGAATGGTTAACAAAGGATTAAATAATTAAAACTCTGTTTTCCAATGTCTTCCAATGTCTAATATGAAAAACACAATAGATTTTCTGTTTGTGTAGCATTTCTTATTATAAATCATTATTAACTCATGATTTCAACATTGCGATGCATCTGCAACAGAGAAGCCATGGAGGTGCATTATCAGAGCATCTTCCCTTCCAGAAATGAGTGAATTATGAAAGTTATTATATGATTATTTATTTAAAAATGTTTTTCTCCTCTGTGCATTAACGTAAGGGGGATTTTCCCGTCTTTGTTAAGCGTACAAGCTAATTCGGTTTCCTTGAAATGAATCAGATTGAGTAGGGGTGACTTTGACCTTGTCTTTTTTTGTGCGTAATTTGTCAGAAGGGGAAATTAATGAAGGAAGCAGGCGGCTCTACGTAAATAAATCTGCGTCACACACGATACAGCGAGTCTGATTACAGAAGGTGGCTCTGACTCAATCAGGATGATGGTTCATGATAGACGTGTGAATGGGATCAGTGTGACTATAGATTTTCGTCTTGGTCTCCACATCGCACAGAGATGGAGACTAATATGTCACTTTCAGTCATATAAATTACGGGGGGGGTCAGAAGACGTATCTGCCAAACCAGCCAGTATTGCAGTATTGGATTTTAGTTTTTCTCTGCTGGAAGTATTTGGACGACAGCGTAAACTGTAAATCAAACTGACCCGGCCTTAAACAACGGGAGATATTCATGTCAGTGGACTTAACATAGAAGAAAAAGAACCAGTGTGTTTGCCTCTGCCACCACATTGTGACCCATGAACTTTACATTTTGCAAAGCACTGCACCGATGTCCCAGGTTTATGGATTTTGATATCCAGGGAAACACAATAAGAAATCACCCTGATAACATTCGGGACGAGTGGTTGCTTTTCTGTCAGTAAAGGTCCTCATGAAAATAATAAAAAAACTTCCCCTGCTCAAAAAGTCAAAAACTTTCAAATCTCACACATTTTGCTTCAGTGTCAAAACTGAAAATGAAGCTGCAGAAATAACTTTACACATAAATTCCCAGTTCTCGAGGGCCCGGCTTCTCACGTTCACTCGGTTTGATAAGTAAGATGATTTGTTCCTAGTTTCTTTTTTTTTCGAACTTTTGGGCTTCTGGTGAATTCACTTAGACTTAATAGCGCCCTGAAGATCCTGTAGAAATTAACACTTATTACAGCTTCTGTGTGTTGAATCTAAAAAAACAATTCCCCAGATTTTCGCCCCCGGCTCACACAGTAGACTTCATTAGGCAGTAAAGTGAGCTGCAGCACAGAAATAAAAATATATTCTAAATTTGTCATTTTTATCATGACACAGATTTATAACCATTCTTAAATAATGTAAAACATATAAAAAGAAACGATGGCCGCCTCATAGCTCATGTGTTGATATCTGCATTGATTGTCATGTGTTTCAGACACATGTGAACATCAAGATAACTCTGCACATATGAACTCTTACATCAACAGTTTTTAATGTTGTGTCGACGCTCTGTGAATTACACGCCACACTGGCAGCGTTGGGCGGCACACGTCGGTGTCTGGGCTCCTTCCACTTCTTGTTTGTTTGCCCGGGGACGTCTCACGATGCTGCTCTGGAGGATTTTACAGATGTGTCGGCATCTGCTGGTTATAAAATTCTTTTATGTTGGCACAGACATGAAAACGCACCGTTATGTGCAGGTACTTGGTTTTTCCTTCTGTGGCTGAGGTCATTCAGTCTTGGCGTCAGGAGTGTTGTGTTGTGAGTCCAGTGTGTCGTCCTCCACTTAAAGGTCCAGTGTGTAAGATTTAGGTGAAAGGGAACTATTGGCAGAAATGTAATGTAGAATAATCCTCATGATGTTTTCACTAGTTTATTTCATCTAAATTGCATGAATTGTAGTTTTCTTTACTCCAGAAAAGACCCTTTATGTTCAAATACTTTATATTTACATCGAGGGGACCCTCTCTACGGAGGCCGCCATGTTCTTTAATTAATCCAGACTGAACAAACTAAACACTTTTTGAGTTTTTATGACAACTGAAGTTCACCACAGGTTCTTTTTCATGTTTGGAATCTTCACAATTCCTCAAACTTGCACCTGTAACTGCTGAGGGTTACACATTTGTTGGGGCACTTCATATCATAAATCTCTTGTTGTGTGGATTTCATGGCTGCAAGACTGAATTTACTTTGTTGGTGCAAAAGTATTCAATTAGTGATTAGACCAGGAAGACACAGTCTCAGCTCCGGAGGCTGCAGGGGAGCGTGCAGACTTTGAAGATAAGTGGTGGTCAGTAATTTCTCTCATGTGGCGGAGTCATTACTTTGAGAACAGCTGGCGTCCGACTCTCACTTTCACCCCCGGTCGCCCTTTGTGGAGACGGCGCTCTCCATGGTGCTGAACACGGTTTTCTGCTTATTATTACTCAAAGACTGGAGTTCCTCAGAGACGGCTTCATTTGTGAAAAATGTCAAAACCTCTTTTTCATCACAGGTCGAGCGCATAAGACGTGGAATGATCAGTAAGTCCTCAGACAGAGCTTTTCAATGGTCACCAGCTCTTAAAAACTGCTATAAAACTATGTACAATACTTCATAACATGAACCACTTCCATCTAAATCCAAAAGTCTGTGTGAGTGTTCATCCCACTGTCGCCTCACGACTAGAAGGTTCTTGCTGTGAGTCCAGGTTCAGCCCGGAATCTTTGTCCCCCGGTCCAAAGACATCCAAAGGGTTTACATTCATTTTTACAGTCTAAATTGACCAGAGGTGTTAATGGTTGTTTCTGTAAATCGGCTGGGATTGGCTCCAGCTCCAGGACCTTAAAAAGATAAGCATGATGGATGGATGTTAAAGATAAAGCAGTTTTTATTTTGATATCCTCCGCTTACATCAGAATGAACATATTTCATATTAACGGCATTTTGTGCTTTATATTATTTTCTATTCTGGATCATTTAAATGACGTCTCCTTTATAATGTCTCTGCTAAGTTGTACCATAAGACTTAATCAATTTTATCTCAACATAATCAGCTGATCAATATTGAGGGAGTATAATATTGATCAGTTTTTAATAGGGTGAAGTGAGTTCATTAATTGACTTTATTAGGACATTTGAATCCACATTTCTAAGCATCTTAACCTGAAAAATTACAGTTTTACTGTGTTACTAGATAATTTTTTTGCAAATGGCAGCAATAGAAAGTACTGATTTTAAGAAGCAACAATATGTTTACAAGTCTGACTTAATTTCTTTACTTCAAATTCTTCTGCCGTATTATTTGTTCATTACTGTGGAGCCCTCGGATGATTGCAGCCTCGCAGTCGATATGGTTTTCTGACCGTTTAAGAGCCGTGCACTGAAAGGTCATCTTTTCTCTGTTGTTTTTAATCCATCCAGGAATTTAAAAAGTTTTCAGCACCTTTCGTGTTTTCAGCTTATCATTATCTCTTATCTGTCGGCCTCGCTGTGGAGAAGATGTGAGGGGAAGCGTCTCAAAGAAACCGATGTCACGGAGTGTTTACTGACATTTGGACACAACAAAAGCAAAAAAAAAAAAAAAATTGAGAGAAAGCAATGAAGTGAAATTGCTGCTGCTCTCCTGGTTAATGGAAAAGATGAAATCCAAAGTGTTGAGGTGGAGTTGCTGAATGTAGCTGGAGAGGTCAAAGTTGCAGTAATTAGGCGTGACCCCTGCCAGGCAGAGCCGCTGTGATTGCTCTGTTTTATCAGGAGTCTCTTGTATCTATGAACGCACGGACCGGAGTCGAGCTGCTTTTATTGTTGTCTCGGAACGAGAAACAGTAAACCTGCAGAGCAACAATATTTATCATGGGTTTAATGACGACCATTCTCGCCTCGTAGCTTCAGTCAACTGAACAGCTCAATCGTAGCTTGACTAGATACCGCGGACATGTTTTGACATTGACTTAAACAAACAAGCACAAGGACACGGAACAAACAATAAGCTAAAAGAAAAATTCAAAGTTAGGTAATAATGATATTATTGTGATTCCTCTGGCATGTCCCCTCACGTCAGGAGAACATGACCGTGACATATCTGCGGCACCCACAATGCATCCTTTCATTAACGAGAAACGAAGGCGCCAACGAGGGGATCCTTTTATCCGGCACAACTTATCCCATGATTCATTGCGATTCAGTGACGAACCGATTTTTTAAAGAGGTAATGGAAATGAGACGTCCAACGCATCAACTCAGCAAATAATTAACGTTAAAAAACCAACGGGTACTGATTTGGATCCGGTCTTGAATAAAGCAGACGGATATGAGAATGGTCTCAATGCCAGAAAGGGAATATTTCCCAAAATGTAAAGCGACTCCACATGCTCTCTGTAGTTCTAAATGATTTAACATCTCCATACACTACACCCCCCTTCTATCAGTCATCATTTCCCACTCACATATAACATGCAGAGGATATTTTGTCCATTTTTTTTTGGGCTTCTGTGACACATCTAATAAATCTTCGGCTCTCCGTCTAGGTCAAGTGCTCCATCACTGTGCCAAAACAGTCTGTCCTCCATAGGCTGTGTCCTTGTCCGCCTGTGTCACTCCGCTCCGGGACTGATGTGATCTGACTGACAATGGCCGTGTTTCTGCCAGGTGCCGTCGTATAATCCTGCTCCACAGAAGAGCTGCGTCCCAGTCGCTGGATCAAAGCACATTTTTGTGGAAGATATGAGCCCGAAAAAACAGCAGTTGATTGTAGGAACCAGCACGAGTCACTCTTCATTATTTTTATTTCACCTTTTCCGCAAAACACTGAACAGATAAACCAAATTTTACTTTACCTGTACATAAAGATTTCCTCCCATAAGATATGATTCCATTGCCTGTGATCTGAGTTCAAATCAGACAAACATTATCATTTTTTCACCCTTTTGAAAAACAAATCATCATCGCAGGCGACACCGATTTAAACACACACATTCTACACATTTCTTCAAATGTGAGGATGTTACCAAACAAGTCGTCCGTGTTCATTATAGTTACATTCGTTGAATGTCTTTGATAATTACAGTGTCATTAAGTTTATAATAACCATGTAAGTGTTTTCATCTTTTCTTCCATTTGCATCCTCAGTAATTGCTGGCAATTTAACGTGAACTGTCTTTTGGCATCGCTCGACACATTCCTGATTTGTCAGAGCTCCGTCCTCTTGCTCTTTAACAGGATATAATTAGGTGGAAAATCTAAAATAAAATATAATAGAAGAAGTCAAATGATTCAAAACACATTTGACTTTCTAGCCATCAATTCTAAATGTTCTCGCTGCTGTTACAGACAGTTTGGTATCGCTCGGGAGAAATACTCTTTAAGATAACATTATGCACTTTGCCATCAAAATAGAATTACACAATAAAGTCTGTAGCCACATGAGTCAAGAACCATATCCTGTCACATTTTATAAATCGTGGCAACAACAGATGATGCTCTAGACGCCTCAGTCACTGAAAACTAACATTACAGACGATATGTAACAACCTAACAGCAGCAAACTGTGGTAGAGTTCACGTTTCACGTATTGTATTTACAAAATGTGGTTTTCAGAGGCGATGTGATAAAACCACAAACCATCATAACAATCAAATCAATCTACGAAACGGCTCTATGCTCAACACGTGGAGGAGAAACCTTCAGAGTGTGATGAGTTCAAATGTTTACCTCGCTCCAGACAGTGTCAATGAAGTGGGTCAGTTGTCCATAGTGACACATTAACACTTACAGATCAACACTTTAAACTTTAAAGCAGACACTCTGGAGAAATGTCCGCTTCATTCTCATAACGCCGTTCAGCACATTGGCAGTCAAACTCACATTTCGGAAAAGTGGATAAAAATGCAATCAGATTTTTTTTTTAAGTCGCCAAATTGCTCCCACGAGGCAGTGAAGTCAAATGAGCCGATATCTCAGCAGCAGCAGCAGCTTCAGCAGGTTCAGTTTCAACAGATGAATTCCTCAGATATAATCCACTCTGGATTCCAGGGCTCTTACCGTGCTGCTCTTTTCCACTTCATGACAAAAACAAACTAAAACATGTGTGTTTCGCTCTCCGGCAAATGAAATTTCATGAGTGGGGTCACGTCTTGAGACGAGAGCGTGGGTGGAGCCTCGCATCCTACAAAAGGTAGAAGCCTTCCTGCAGTAGCACTATAGGAGCAAAACCAAAGGCCAGAGCGAGGAGCAAACTGGAGGTGTGAAGGCAGCTGAGCTCAGCCGGGGAACTTCTGGCGACAGCGTTGGAGCCGCTGGACTCGTCCAAGTGATGGTTCTGGGGATGAAGAAACAAAGAAGAATGTGAAGAGACTTTATAAATTCACATCAGTGGAAATATTGTCAATATTGAGCTCATAAAAACTGCTTCTCTATCAGACGAACATTTTTAATTTGGTGCAATGACAAAACAAAGTGAAACAAGTGCAGTGGAAACAAGTAATGTTGTGACTAATCAAATTCTAATATTTATTTTATTGCATATCTTTGTTAATTATATCCAGATTTAAAGTATCCGTCTAAAAACATATGATGTCAGATCAAATATTAAAAAAACATTGGTGTCTGTACTGACGTTACATTCTCAAATATTCGTATCATTCTCATAACAAATGCTTTTATTTGAGCTCCTGCAGGAAACTAACAACAACAGGTCTTACCACACACTGCTCAGTATCCACTGTTTGATTTGACACCAGCTTCTGGGCCTTGAGGGAAGAAAATAAGAAAAACAAAAGCAGAGAAACGTTAACGTTCAGGATCACACACTGGCTTATAATAAACAGGTGGCTGCTTCCTTCATAAATCAATCATTTAGTGTAGGAACTGTGTCACACTGAACTGAGGTTACAGCAAATGCACGGTCAAGGTCAAGCAAAAATCATATTTACATCAAGTTAAACTCCCAAAGCCGCAAATGTGATATAAACATACTCTCTAAAATACATTTCTGTAGTTCCCACCAGTTGCTGTAGTTTTGACCTGCAGGAACTCTTTGGTCCAGTCACCCCCCCCTCCAGCAAGAAGTGTGTTAGTGTAAAAGTTTGTCTGGGTGAGATCCCGGGTTTTTGCAGCCTCAAGGTTATGACCATTTAATCCGATTTAAAACTTTTCTCAGGCTGCTCCGAACCCTCTCAGCCACACGTACACACACACATGCATTTCCACACTCACAGATACACACTCGCAGATACAGAGATGGACCACAGAAAATGATAAAGTGACTCCACAGTGGTTTGGGAACAATAATAAACACGGCAGACATTGGTTTTAAGTAGAGAGAATTCCACGAGGCAGGATTGTGGAGAAGAATGATTAATTGCTCTATAGGAGGTCTTTCCTCCTGCAGGATGTTTTTACTGGCAATAAATCATATTATCACTATTAAAATCCAATATGATAGATCGCCTCGCTTAAAGTTTGTGATATCATCTCATTTAAAAATATAGCCCCATGGTATTTATCCGAGGAGAAATAGCAGCAGTCTGAAATGTTGTTGCCGAGGCCAAAAAGTAACAAAGCAGCTGCAGCACATTCGAACAAAACGAGTAAATTATGATGTTAAATATTAACTTCAGCATATTCTCTACAATTCAGTTTGATATTTCAAAACTGATAAACATCTGGATGTCTTGCTGAATTGTTTCAAAGTAAATGGTGGGGATTTTTATAGGTCAACAAATAAGTTAAGGGGAAGTAAGAAATGATAAAAAGCAGTGTTATAAAGGTACTGTCAGAGCCACTCAGTTATTATGCAAGTACTTTGAATTAGTGATTGTACATTGTTCACAGATGCAGGAGTAGAAGGTTCATTAAAAGGATTTGCTCGCAGCTATAATGTGTTTTATTCTTTATTTATTTAAATAAATACAAAGCTCAGTCTTTCCCTATATCATTAAACATGAAGAACTGTACATATAGGTATATGAATGCAATTATACTCTCTCTCTCTCTCTCTCACACACACACACACGCACACACACATTACCTCTGTGCGCCTTATCTGATGTTTCTGTGGCAACCAATTAGCTTTGACACGACAGATTTGGAAACCCTGACTTTCTGCCCAGGAGGGGGTAGACTGTGCACGCCATCATAAAACCATCCCTGATCCATCAAGGTGACAGAGCCTGACGTCTGACGCTCAGACGAATCGCAATTTGGAGTCAGGCACTTTCTCTCAGAGGTTTCTGATGATGTTTGTTGAAAAAGATTTATTTAGCTCACATCCAGGTTCATCGTTTTAATTTGGGTTCTTAAATGTTCTCAAATGTTCTTCTGCTTTAATGTTCAGAAAACTCATCACTCTAGTCATACACTGCTGCAGCTCCTCTCTTCAGCCTCTGTCTGAAACACTTAGTTTCAGCTCCTGTAAGCCCCCCCCCCCCCGATAAAGCCCAGTCTGCTCTGATTGGTCAGCCTGACCTCTCTGTTGTCATTGGTCAGCCACTCCCAGCACGTGTAGCCTCCGCTCTCACTTTACTTGGCGTTGTTTTGGGGCTTTTTACTTTGCAGACTTTAACTTTACATGCACAAAAAACTAACACAGCATACGAGAAAAACAATTGATGAGTATTGTGAGTAATTTTTTCTTTATTCCTATTTTCTTTATTGCTTATTTTAGTGTGGACATGAGGCACAGCCACTAACTGCAAACAAATACTTCCCTCAGCAGCTCAGAGAGCAGTGCAGGGGTAATGTACTCTGTGACGTTTGGGGATTTATAACATTGAAAACTTTATATTGTCTGAGAACTGTGCGGTCAAACAAAAAGTACTGCAGAGAGGGCTGGAGCGTGGCATAAAAAATATTGCTGTATTGTTTCTAATGTTTTCTGGAGTCTCTTAAAGTCACTGTGGTATAAAAACAACGTCAATGTGAATAATTAAGATAAATGTGACTGGATCAATCTGTGTTTTCAAACCTTCTCTCTCACATTCAACTGGCGATAGATTGATAAACTGTATTTTATAAAACTTCACCTGTAATGTTCCGCAGAGGTGATATAACGAGTCTCCGTCGAGATGCGGTTTGGTCATGTCTGTCCGTACGTCCAGAGCGCCGCCGGTTCGCTCCTTAGCTCTCCGGGTGATGCTCGGATCTAATGCGGTGGGCTGGATGGGGGGTTGGGGTTGCCAAACTCCGACATCAGTACCGTTGCCAAAAGCCTGGATGGCGTTACCTGAAATAAATACAGATAGAATATGATTAAATGAAACTACAACAGGAAAAACTGCCACATAGAAAATAGAAAATACTGTGGAGATTACTTAGACTATACGGATGCATGACTTTGGTTCAGATATTGAACGTTACAAATACATATATTAGCCTTATCCAGTCCTCTGAGCCCTGTATTTAAAATGTAGTCTTGTAGTTAGTGATTGTCTTTGCCTCTAAAGCATTTTGTTGTTACGACATTTCCATCAATGTTCTTCTCATACATCAAACATATCCTGATAGAAATTGTTTATTTAACTCCAACTTCTAAACGCTTGGACTCACGCAGGCATCTGTTCTTGGTGAAAAACTCCGCAAATTTGTCACAGTCCGGTTTGCTGTTCCCGCTGCTGCTGCAGTCGCACCACGGCGAGAGGCTGATACCAAGAGATCGCACGTAATTGGGCGTCATCACCGTTCCTGTGGCACACAGGAGAAGAAAGCCACTGTAAGTCTTTGTAGCTGTCGTCCCATCATCCTCAGGTGGAACCTCCAGGACTCTTCTCGATCTGAATGTTCAGGTCATCTCATTCAGGAGCTTTTTAAACCACATTTACAAAGTCTATAGAAGTCGCACTGAATTGCAAGGTACCTCGTTAAGGAGCTGTGTTATCATGCATAACTATCACTCTATCAATGCTTCCCTTTTGAATAAGGAGCCCAATGACTCTACCCTTTGCTTTGACAATGACAGCAACCGGCTGCATCCTGGTTATAGAGCACAGCATTATATCAAGATAATTATTATCACATCAGTCGATATCGACAGTTTTCACGAGAAATGTCTCAGGATTATTTATTTTAAGTTTAAACACTGATTTATGTAAGTATTACCTTTACAGTGATGTATCATGCATATACAGTATATACTGTAAATACTTTATTGATGAGAATTATGTTCCTATACTTACACAGATATTGTATTAAGGCCTAACCCCACATCATTATAATTGTTACAATAAAGAAGCATGGCCAGTGGTCCTGTCTGTTCTACAACATGTAGATTACTATAGAGATGTAACTGAATTAAAGTGCTGCCTTCCTCTTTACTTCTTCGCTGTGCACACAGGTTTTCTGTTGTTGTGCAGCATCAGAGGCGAGTGGCGACACCAAGGGGAGCCGTTAGAGGGTGTAACCTGCGTGTGAAGCTGTGCAGATTAAAGTGTCTGCCTGTTGAGTTTGCGATTGGTCACTGTTGCCCCCGCGTTCAGATCTCATTATGAAAACTCAGTGGGACGTCATGTTTCCTCCTCCACATAATAAAAACCTGCAGATGGAGGAAGGACTGATCAAAAGGAAGTGAGCGGTGCACGGTGCTGGCTGTATGAACTGTGACGGCGTGCGCTCCCCACAGATTTGCACGTTATTGACTGTGATCTCGTCTGTCTGGCTGCCTCGTCGATCTGGTGCCTAACCTCTGCTGTGGAGAACACATCGAGATTAAGTTACTTGGCTTGACACTAAACATCTGTGAGGGACGTGTGTGGGTTAGATTACACGCCGACAAATCAACGGTGCCACAATTTAATCTCTAATAATAGTACGAACAGTTTGTGTGTGATTTTAGATTTATGATGTTTCTCTTTTATATTTTCAACATTTCTTAACAAAAAAATACATTATTGATAAACAAAATCCAAGCAAATCGAACTATATGACATATGGCTGGGGTTCTATGGTGACCACCAGTGGATCCACTTCTGTTTTTCAAGAAAGATTAGAAAATGAAAAATCTTAATCACATTTTTTATACTAAAGAGTTAGCAAGTGACTGTTTGTTTAACGACTGCTGACAGGACTGGGGCACTTCAGGTGTCAATTCAATTTCAGCTAGGGCCTGTGCCCCCCCTGGCCTGGGATCCGGCCCTGGTGACCACGCAGGTAAATCCTCTCTGTCCTTTAAAGGAACATGATTGTATTCTGTCAAAAGAGGCACAGTGCATCCGTCCAATCAGCTATGAGCACTACCTTCCTACCTTTTCCATATGAAGTTAATGTCATTGTGTTTCCTTATTTACTGTCTATTGTTATCTGCAGCTTTGTTTTGTCATTTTGTGATTTGCATTTGCCAAAGTAAGAATCACCTTTCTACCCTTTGAACAGTTTTCTCTTTTCTTTTGTTTTTTGGAAAAACAAAATCAAATAAAATCTATAGACATCACTTTTAATTAAACAGACGAAAGCTTCAAGCAATCAAACATAAAAAAACTGAAGAAAACAACAAGATAAAAAAACAATACAAAACAAGTTTGATTGGAAAATGATGCTCATGATTTAAAAAAGTGATTCTGTTCCTTCCTTGTCCGCTTGAGTTCACTGATTGCCACCAGAGTAAATCAAAAGAAGCGCCATTAGCAGTTCAGCTAATTCTCGAGCTATTTGTAAAATATTTTGAGGGAATCACTCACCAATGAGTCCTGAATACGACAGCAGACAATCAGCGTAGTTTTCCCTCAGACAGCCGGAGATGGAGCGAGCTTCTGGCTGACAGTTGCTGATGAAGTCTGCCAGCCTTGACCTGGAAAACAAAACGTAGATAAAAATGCAAATATGCTGATGCTGATATTGGATTTCAGGCTCATAGCGAGCGAAGCGCTTTGTCACAACGGTTCAACAATTTAAAGATTGAGACCCATGAAAACAAATCAGTGTTTTTTCTGTTCAACTCTGCCTGCTTAGAAAGTGGAAAGTATAAATTATGAAATAAAGAAAATATGAATAACTCCTTCACTGAATAAAATACAGATTTTAAAATACAGATTTTATTCAGTGGATCGGTTTTTATTACACAATTAAACACAAGGTGTTGAAGTTATAGATGATGTTGAATTAAACTGGCTCATCCTCCAACAGTTCAGTTTACAGTTTGTCATTTCTTAAAAGAGAATCTCTGCAGGTGATGTGAAATTATCATCTATTTAATGAAGTAGACAAGAGGAGGTGAAGATATTATTTTCCCTTCATCCATCCATCACCTAGATTCTTTCCCATATCATCCCAGCTGACATTGGGTGAGAGGTCCACCCTGGACAATCAACCAGACTTTAATCTGCATGTCTTTGGACTGTGGGAGGAACCTGGAGAAATCATGAGAACCTGCCCAACTCCACACAAAAACACCCCTCAGTGTGTGTTTGTATCGTTTACCTGCAGATGTAATTGGTCTTGCAGGAGTTCTGAAGAGACAGACAGTTTGGTTTGTCTTTGTCCTCGTAGGAGCAGACGGGTACGATGGTTTGTCGTCTGCGTTCTGCGCAGGCTATCTGGTCCCCCGCTGGACAGGAGCAGAACAACATCCCGTAGCTGTATTTAGCTGGAACCTTTATTTAGAGAAGCAAAGAAGAGTTACTCCCTGGAGGGCAAACTCCATCCTGAGCATTTCCACCTTCCATTGCAGCTACAGAGCATCAGTGTGAATACTCTCCTGTCTCCTTCAGCGGTGAATTATAAAGGAGAACTAAGACTTTTGTTAGACACTGAATAGAAAGTCAAGTTAATGTGAAATTACATTTTATAAACAGTATTTTCACGACACGTGTTCAAATGAGAAAAATAGGCTACATGTAACCCTCCGCTTAATTACCTTGTCAAAGAACTGTCGTAGAGCTTTGTGGCATTTGCGCTTGTTGCACGCCTCGGAAGCAGACACCCTGTTAGTGCAGGGGTTGATGTATGTGGAGCGGTATTTCTTACATGTGTCATTCAGGTTACAGGCTTTGGCAGCATTCAGGCAGTTGTTCTCCTTTGTGGATGCGGACTCGGCTAAGAGAGAGGAGAGACGGAAAAAAAAAATCTGTGCTTTTTCTTGACAGACTCAGGTGTGAAATGGAGAGAGAGAATGGAGAAGACGTGTGGCAAAGGGCTAATATTTTCAATATTGACTAAAAGTAACCGTATGTCAGTTTGGAGCCTTTCTGAAAACAACACTGTACAAACTGTGTGGATGCTGAAATATATATATATATATTAATTTCCTGGTGTCTTATTCTAAATTACTGCACTTATTTGTTGCTCCAGTTGCTTTGTTGCACTTTTAAACTCATGTACTTAATGTACTTAAGATTCTTCTCTCAGACCTCTTCCTCTTCCCTGTCAAATGCATTATGTTCCGAGCATTAGCAAAAACTACACTAATAATATATCTTGCTTTGTATTTGTGTCTGATGCTGTTTTTATATTTCTCAGAAGACACAGAAACAAAACACCTGCTGAGTCGCTGCAATTTTGCTTCCATCGAGCTCCATGAACAAAAGCCACCCATCTTTACTTCTATCCCAGTTTCCTTCCATCAGAGCAAAAGCACCGTGCGGCCGACATAATGACGCTCACATCTCATTTTCTCATTTGTTGTAGTTAAAGTCCTTCCTGCTCCACTGACTCCCGCACGGCAAAACAAACTGTATCCTCGGCCTCGGCATGGAAGAGTGAATTCTGTAATTCTGCCTTTTGAGGTGGAATTGAAGTTCACTGCGCTCTTTCATGCACAACGGAATGAGCCCTGATTAAATCTGAATACATTCTTGAACCTTGGGTTAATCACATATTACAAAAGCCATTACTTACAACTGACAAGTGCCTGGAGATGTGGGCTGTGATCCTGCAGTGGCCGTTTGTAGCTTTTGGGCCATAGGTGTGACAGATTTACCTCAAGATGCTAAACTTAGCTATATTAACACAGTCTTACTCCGAGGATCTGGGTTGAAACGTGGCTTTGTATGTGTGTGGTTGTCAAGCTGAGAGTTAGAAGGTCGGAGCTGTAGGTCAGAGTGTGACATCACCAACATCCCTTGGCAGGAAAAAACCTTTTCAAGGGCACTTTTGCATTTAATCAGCTAATTGTGTGGTCGTACTTTCTCCTTCTGGGGAATCGCTTCAGCACAAACCATGTTTCATATCTTCTTATTCATCGTGACATTGTTGACGTAGCAACAATTTCAACAAATACGCCCCAAGAGCGCATGAAGAGCATCATGTCGGAAAACTGCGACAGATCAGAAATGTGATTCAGAGCCGTGAATTCAATTTGACATCACCAGTTACATAAACAGTGTGTTGAAGGTTGTTGTTAAAAGTTGTTTGTGTCGTGGACTGTTTTCTAAAGCCAAACTATCCGAGATACGAACACCGCCATCTTGTGCATGCAGAGCCTGGTCTATGTCCCATCCACTAACATGGAGGAAGCTGGATTAGTGACCTATACTGAGAGCTGCCATGTCGTCCATCTTTGTATATGGCCAGTGCTAATGTGCGATTTGTCTAATTTTGTGTGATGGTCTGTTTGTTTCTCTAATCCTCTTAAAGTCTTCAAGTTTCAACTAAATACCACGAAGCGTCTCATTTCATTTGTTTCTAAGACAAAGCCCACCAGCTACAAAAAGCTGATTTGTGACCTGACATCCTGTTTAAAGGCCAGTGGAGCTTAAAGAAAACAAATCTCACTCCCCCCGTCTTAGGTTGCACCCCCTGAGCGAGGCCACCATGTTGTCACTGACGCAGACCTCATAACCAGCCAGTCTAGGAATCTGACCCTCTGACCTCTCACAGGTTGATACCAGAGATCTTTAAAGGGGCCGACAGCCGGGTCTGGTTGGAGAGGTTGATTATCGTGTCCTGGGGGCTGCTCTCTGGTGAGAGTGAGAAACAGAAGTCTTCGGTTTTTGGGGGGTTTGAGTGTTAGTGGTGGATTTACAATGTACAAAAAGAACATCTGTCCTCTGCAGTATTTTCTACATGAAACCAAAAGAAGAGATGAGCATTAAGTTCATTTATTTGTCTTCCTTTTTAATCATCAAAATAGTGACGGTTCTTTTTTTTTTTAGTTGACTAATGATTTAATTGACATAAAAAGACATTGATATGAGTACTTTAAGTCTCATAAGAAAACAATTCTGCAGAAGTGGTTTTGTGTCTGTAGAGAATGAAGCTGAGGAAACATGAGTAAATGGATGCAGAGGTTATCGTGTCTCAGGAATATCCACAGAGCCTCGTGCATCTGATTCTGCAGCCCCCCCTCACTGCTTTGAGAAATGTTTGTGGCGCAGGCTCAGACAAATTAATCATTTTTTTGCACAGGATGTGGAATAAATAAGAGCAATAAAATGTCCTGGACTGAAGCCACCGTTTAACAGAGGGGCAGTGAGGTCAGAGGCGGCAGAGACGGTCCTAAAATCTCTCGTCTCCAGAGGGTTTAGTTCCACTGCAGCAGTTCTGGATAACAATGTTGTGCCGAGAAATTGCTCAGGCCACTCTTTTCTTCATGGACTGTATTCCATGACTATGGGAAATGCAGATTACATGAATATGAAGTGTGTTGTGTGATCCACAAACTAAACCTCAGGCGGCAGCTGGATGGAGATGTAGGGGCAACAACCAAATAAAAATGAGCTTTCACGGACATATTGGCGCTCACCTGCAATAAACGATGCAGAGATGTGCATTCATGTTCATAACTTGTATGAAGAAATGTATTTTATTCAGTATTTTCAAGTCTTATTTAGTTGGTTGTATTTGTGTGTCCGTTGTATTTACACTTATTTACAGGGAAGTTTATGTTTAAACATTAAAATATCAAGACTAATATGGACAATGACATTGCCTCTTGCTTGTTCTATTTAGAAGTAGTATTAATGTGGTCATTTACCTTTTAAGCAATTTCTGCAGAATGTTTTCCAAGTTCAAACAAGCCACAGACGATGAATTACTCAGCAACGCAGCAAACAGGTCCTGAGGCTCAAGTCCAGTCCAGCCCAAAGTGTGTAGGCTTCTATTATGTACATTTCACATATCGTGTTTTTCAGCCCTATCATCTCCCTTTTATACCTGATTCCCCTTCATATTCTCACTCGCCCAGAAACTCAAAACCATTACACAGTCTCCATTTACAGTCTGCATAGCTGTCCAAAATTAAAGTCCTTAGCCATGTATCACTGCTTTATTTAATCCCTCCACTTAGTGCCCTCTTTGTCATCCCCTTATAAAAGAAAGAAAACAGCAGTGGTCAGAGCCGTCTCCTTCGTCTATTAGGCGTCCTGCCAGCGTCACTAAATCCATGCCACTGTCTCCGAATTTATGACCAGACCCAAGACCCATTTATTAAGTGCACCCGTGTAATTAGCAAAATCTCACTTAGCTCCAACTGCTCCAGCTATTTTTGTCATCCATTTAATTCTCCAGACAGCCATTCATCCTGCATTGACTCAAAAAGCATTGCTGATGTTTTACGTACGACTCGAGGATGCTGCTGCAGAACTATGGAATTAATGGTTGAAGCAGCAATGACATAGATTAGAATATTTAGCGATTGTGATGAGGGAGGTTTGCTCAATCAAAACACCCTTTGCTGTCCCAACTACCCTTTACAAGTTTCAGGTTGGGGGGGAATGCATGCAATAACATCTCTGCCAGCAGATGTGACTCACTGGTTGCAAATGAGGTAAAGTAATATGACAGATGGAGCTACTGTGCCTGCAGGACACAGGAGAGAGATGAGGAAATTCAAGTGCAAATCCCTGTGGAGGCACCTGTTGATGCTGTGCAGGAGTCAGGGGAACTTAGTTTTTCAAAAAGTCATTTATCTACTTCGATGAAGGAGATTCCACTCGGCCAAATTAATAATAAAACAAATAATAATATCACAAGTGGATGTTCTTCATTGTTTTTCCCTCAAGCTTACTAAGACTTAATTTAAGTAGATTTCACAGAATAACCTTGTTTGTAGTTGACAAAATAAACGTATTTTTTAATTTAATAGATGCTAATTAAATATATGATCAGCATATATCATTCTATAAACTAACATGAAAACCTTCAAATCAACCTAAATGAGTCACGTTTGTTTTACAAATAATAATTTTGTTAATTTAACATAAATGATTCTTAAAAAACTTGATTTTAACATCGATGTAAATGTTTTTTTTACATAAATCAATCTTTTTATTCAGTGTTCCTTTAAGCTTCTTCTGAGAATGAACATGTCACAGCTAGCGTATGGGAATGTGTGTCTGATGGATGATTTGCATGTATGAAACTCTCCATTTAGCACTAATGCATGTGTCACATCATATGAGTGATTGTGTGCATACGTTTGTTTGTGCACGTGTGGGTGCAGCGTGCGTTCGGGTCACATCAAATAATTTAATTCCTGACTGAGAACATTCTCCTGCGTGTCACCTGCAGCACGCAGCGTTTCATCTCAAAGCTGTGATTAGCCGTAGCCTGCATCATCACTCATGGTTGCGTATCCACTTGGCTCCCCGCGCTCAACTTGTCATTGTGGCTAAGCCATCAGGTGCACTCATCTTTGTGAGGAATTTACACTCTGCAAGCCGAGCCTTCATCTTTCAGTAACGTTGGGTTAATGCACAAACGTATGTGTGTGTGTGTGTGTGTGTGTGTGTGTTTGTAAGCAGAAGGGATAAATAGTATTTTCTCTATTATATTCTTGGCATGATTCAAATCATGAGGATGTAGCTTAATTCAAATCATCAGAACTCTCTCTCCCCACAAAGCTGAACTTTCAAATTATATAGGAAAACATCAGATTAGATTTAGATTTTAAGAAATATGAGGATTACCATAATAACATGCAGCTTCAGCCTTCACTTTTGATCTTGTTTGGTGTGATGAGGTACTAACATGTGTTTTCTTTATCTTGTTTGCATATCATTTATTGGGAAAGTGTCTTCTTTCTATATTTACATTGTTTATATGTTTGTATTGTTGTTTGTATTCTTTATATTGTTTTTAGGTTTATGTTGTTGCTCAACGTTTTTATGGACTTGAGATTCTTGGACTTTGTGTGTCTGTTGTGTGGCCCCTTTACATCACATACTTTTTATTTGTCTTTGAAACTTTGTGTTGGACTCATATTTGAATGTTGATAAAATGTTTTGGTTTTATTCTTGTAACCTTCTTGTGTTTAGAATTTTGAGTTTGTCGGTTCCTGTTTTACTTTGAAGCTTCTTTTCCTGTGTTACCTTACTTGACTTCCTGTCTGGTTTCCTGTTCCTGTGATGGCCACCTGCTGCCATGTGTCTCACCTGAGTTCAGTGATCCTCAGTCTGTTTGTTAACATCCCTGACTATGGATTTATACTTTCTTCGCCTGCCAACAGAACGGTGAGTCTGATTTTGGTGAAATAAATCCACCATCCTCTTTAACTGCCTGTCCATTTGATCTGCTTGTCCTCACCTCACCTAAACACTGTAAAAGTCACGTGTCACGTTGAAGGTTGACTTCGATATTTATTGTATAAAAGCTGGTTTGACTGTGTCTACCCCTTTTCAAATATTCTTTCTATTCTGAAAGAAAAACTCTGAAATCCAGAATGTTTGCTCCCAAATGTGATAAAGTTTTGTCGGTTTTGCCTCCTGCCAGTAAATCCTCAAGTTTTTAAATATTGATTACGAAGCATTTTTAGTTGAATTTCAAACTTCTAACCCACAGCTTGTGTCTTATTATCGGGTGTCGAGCTTCCTCTGGTTAACTCAGTTGGAATAAATTGCTTTATTCTGCGGTTACAGAGCGGCAGAACAAAAACAAAGGCGACGCGTGGGAAAGGAACTGCCTTGAGATGAGTCTCTGATATGACTGAGAGCAGTCTTGTGTGCAACGGCTCAGCAGATTTAAAGCGTTGTCTCCAACCGATGGCCGCTTTGCTGTTCAGCTGTACTTTGTCCGCTCGTGTATGTGCAGCCGACAGGCCCGGCCTGGCCCGAGGCAAGAGGACAAAGACTTCTGAGGATTAATCTGTTGCTTCAGGCGGCCAGACCCACTGAATTATTCTTGAGATCTTTTGCGATGGGGAAAAAAATCATTCCAGAGTTTCATCTCTTGTTCACAGACTCGATTCTCTGTAAGACTGCAGATATGCTGCGACGATGGATATGGGAGGAGAGGGGCCAGATACTGGGCTCAGTAGTGAGCCAGCGTCGGTACTAGTGAGCATGGCTGTGTCCATGTAAGTTGAGAGTTTGTCACTGAAAACATTTAGGCATTTCAGCAAATAAGCTCCAATTCATAGTGGCTATAGCTTGGAAACACAAGTGGCAGTGTATTGATTTTTTTAAAGTGTGTACGTGTAGAGGAGTTTCTGATTTACACACTTACTCCTAACTTTCAGATAAGATATAAACAAATCTAGTCAATTTTTTTCCTTTTCATAGTAAAGCGATGTGAACGTACAGAAGGAAACAGTGGATTTTATTCCTTGCTCATTCCTCCCCTCAAAAACATCCTCTTGTAATCTAATCAGTCCTCGTACCAGCGGTGCCAGATTTTCTCTGGATAAGGTGAATCAGTACATCTTGTCTCAAAAATAGAAAAAGGACCTTATACTTCTAATGAGTTGAGATTGTGATGTACAAGCAGATATACTCTGCAACGATCCCTGCTGTCCCAACTTTTGGCTGCAGGACTGTGAAGAACATAAGCACGAGGCTGCAGGTACATCTGTAATAATTCCATGTTGTGTGTGGCACAATATGATTTAGTGATGATTTAGAGTTTGGCTTGTTGCCCTCTGGTGCTGCAGTAAAGAATTTTTAGAGGCGTAAACATGGTGTGTGGTACAGAGGCTACTGTCATCCCATCATTCTCCCCCTGTTCTGCACGACAGCATTGTGATGCGTGTGGTTCACTGATCTATAAATGATGCAGAATTGAATATCAGCTCTTGCTAGAGACCATATTCTAGCAGTCACGATCATCTGGTTTGATATTGATGAGGATATAAATACATCATAAGTGAGAGGCTTTGGTTGGAGCCATAAATAAAGAAATGTGACTCCGTTTAAAACAAAGTAGGCCGGCATGAGGAGTGGGAAAGTAGCCATGCTAATGTCATGACTCCAGGGGGCGCAGCATTCAATTTGTCCAATTCTTAGAAATGCCTGAAGGCAAAGTCAAGATTGTGAACATGGTAAACACTTTGCACCAAAGCCTATATAAGGACAGGTTACACATGAAGATGGACGACATGACAGCTCCTCACAAGTTGAAGCCAAATCATCTCAATCGCCCCCTGGTGACTGGCTGCAGTGCACCTCGAATAAATTCTTCTCTTTCAACAAGCTGGTCTAGTTTAAATGTTTCTGATAAGTTTGGTTTTACTCAGTTATTCGATGCTTTAAAAACAGTGTGAAAGTCACGATTGACCTGACACTGACTCACGATTGACCGAGTACGTATCTGCAGGACAACGACTCCGCTCCGTGATCACTTCTGTGCAGTGATGGGACACATGAACGTCTATGTGTCAAGTATCTGTGATAATTTAGCTTCATTTTACTGCAGGAGGAAGCGGAGATGCATCATCCATCTATATATACATACAGTCTATGGTTAGCACTGTTATTGTGAGAGTCTCCGAGCTGCAGACGCTTAAGTCTTGATTTCTTGTTGCAAGATATTTTTCTTTTTCATCATCATTTGCAAGAACTCATTTGGGGAAAAAAAAAAATGTAATAAGTATGTGAAATAACAACCATTAGTTAATCAGTGCAGTGATCATCACGTCTTAGCAGTGAACCCATGAGACACAGTACGGATGATTCTGTCCTGGCTCATGTGCATTATTCCACACTGCTCGTTGCCTGAGGCCTGGCTTAGTCTCATGCAGGAATGAGGTCACTTATGGCAAATGGATTCCTCATATCTAACCCATTAGGTGATTCGGTTTTTTTTAGAAGCCCCTTTGGCTTTTTTACACACTTCCGTATATTAAAATGCTGCAGCTTCAACTCTGCACAGAATGTATCCTGATAAGGTGGCATACATGTTACACTCATGCCACCTTATAATGATTAAAACCACAAGGTCCACACAATGTGAGTCACTGACTTTGATAGAAGAGCGAAACAGATTTTACAATATGGCTCTAGTGGGATTTCTTTAGATATCGGGCGTCCTGTCTCGTCTCAGGAAAACCATTTTGTAGTTGTTCTTCTTGGCCTTTTTAATAAACGCTGTTTTATTTTACTTCCAGACCCATTATCTGAAAGCCTCACACATTCCTAACCACTTTTTCCCAGCAATTTGTCTTAGTCTCACATTGCTAGATCCACCGTGACGTTACGTTTTGCACCATTCCTGTGCAGCAGGGAAATCAAGTTCCAATAACTTTTCTTTACCCTCCGTTTGAAATACAGTCAGCCATTACGTGGAGCAGGGGCCACAGTGGTACGCTAAGTGGATTCAATCACAGCGAGGGAGGGAGGGAGGGAGGGAGGGAGGGAGAGAGGGAGGGAGAGAGAGAATCAAATAACCATTTTTTTCCTACACTGAAATAGTAGCTGGCCAGTGCAGCAGACGTCCTCAACTTTGACACACACACACACACACACACACACACACACACACACACACACACACACACACACACACACACAGCTTTTCTCAGTGCCATTGAACAGAGACATGGTGAATTGCTCCTCTGTGTGTGTCTGATCCCTGCAGATCGAACACGGGCCTGTCTACGTGTGTGCACCCAGTTCACCTGCACTCAACTGACATCCGAGGACATTTGTCTCCATTACTTTTCTTTTTTGTAAATCCATGCGTTCAGTTCTAGAAGGCTCCCACGTCTCAAACAACACATCCTTCAATCTAAAAGGCAGATGAATTAAAAACCAGCTCATACTGTAACAGCTACAGCGTCCATGCTGCGACGGAGGGGGGAAAACATGCAGACCTCTAATCGCTCTGAGAGCCTGAAAGTGAAACACACTTAATGACTCTGCTTTGTGTACGGTGGGTCACAGTGACAGATAAAAGCTTTTGTGATGGATAATGGGCGTTGAAAGCTGCAGCCTGAAACCAGACGGCAACAGAAAAGAGCGGTTGTCAAACAGTGACAGATTTTGCACGGTGATGTGATGACTTTCGGCTTTGGGTTTGAAGCGTAACAGAGAAATAATGGCCATGTGCGGAGTGACTGAACTTTTGCACATTGTCTCAACTCAAACCCGAGGAATGGCAGCAATGTGAAAACAGCTTCTCACCAGCAATGATGGGGGCCAGGCGGAAGATGTCTGAGAGGCGGCTGTTGACGGGTTCATACGGAGAATATTCCAACAAATCATTACCTGCACGGGGAAACAAAAGGATAGTCAATGTAAACATGAGGTGCAGGCAGATGTTGTCTGATCCTCCTTCACATTATGAAATCAATTACACAGAATGGCTAATTGACTAATCCCCTTTAATTACACCCAGATCATTTATGAGCTCTTATTTTGTCATGTAGGAACGTGTGCAGGTGTTTGACCTTATGTTAATTTTCTAACAAGTGAGATCAGGTTGTATCGTGGTACGTGTGCCGTTTCTCACTGCAAAGGTGGTTGAGGGTGATGATGTATTTAAGCAGAAAGTTTCCCTTGAAGCTACTTTCTCTGCACTTCAGATGTAAATATTGTACTTTAGACTATTTTCTTTGACAGTTTATCACATACAAAACACATGAGATTATGAAAATGCATCATTATAAAGGAGTTGGGATGATGCTTAACACAAAGTAATGGATCAGTAAAAATAGTCCAAGCTATAAAATATTAAAAAGGACATTTTACCTGCACAATAAATCCTCTTACTTTTAAAGCTACTTTGCTAAATCTACGTCTTTACTTTAAACATTTAAAATGCAGAGCCTTTGATTTGCAATGGATTTTTATTTTAGATAAAGAAAAGTCATCTGACGACTTTTAAAGCAAGTCACTTAGAGGTGAGTGTTTTTTCTCTGAATCATCGCATTACCCTGTAAGCTCTGAAATATGCTCCAGAAGATCCGGAGGCAGTTCTTCTCCTTCTTCATGCCTCTTCTACACCTGCAGTTGTACAGGGGGCTCTGCTTCATGGCGTCTATGGCGCTGCGGCACTCGCCCTGCGCCTCCGGACCGGTGACCGCGCTGAAGTTGCTCTCCCTGCCCGCCACGCACTGCCTCATCGTCCGGTACTTGGTGCTGCAGGAGTACTCCTTCAGACACTGTTCGCTGGCCCTCACGCAGTCCATGCGCACGGGCCGAGATGCGCCGCCGTCACCCTTCAAGGTGACCACCGAGTCTGGGAGTCACAAGAAGTGCGTTAGTGAAGATCTGTGCGCGCGGCGTGAGCTAATTTGAAGACGGCTACACTTCAAATCTCTCAACCATCGATATGTCACTCGATGTCACTTCGTTTTTTTGTTCATACAAACTTTCTGAACCCTGAATGTTCAGTCAGAGCAAAGAAAACGCAGCAGTTTTACGCACGACAGAGGATGCGTCTTTTCCGCACTGCCACTGTTTGCTGCGCTTATTAAACAGGGTTATTATTACTGTTAAACACACGACAGCCTTAACGTTGTAAAACTTCAACAGATGAATTCGTTACTTACCCGGAAAGAACAATATGATGGCGAAAGTTGTTAAAATCATTGCGCTACAGAGGGTTAGGAAAGTGGCTTGAACAGGGTGTTCCGCGGATTAACTCGAAATGTCAAGAAGAATGTGTCACACAGATCCGCGTCTCTTGCTCGTGCTGTGGGCTGAAGTGATGCTGCATCCTGTAGATCCAACAGTGACCAGCCCAACAATCCCGCTGCCGAGTCCAGCAGCTGAAACCACAGCGCGCAAACCAGCCAGGATCAGGAGTTTTGGAAGAAAACACAAGGAACGCGCAGACGGAGCATTCCCTCCTCTCTCTGCTCCCATCAGCCCCACAGAGAGACGCAGGACAAAACTTTACAGCCGCAGATTGCAGAGTAAGAACCCCCCCACCCCCCGAGCCAAATCAGTTTAACTTAATGAAGGAATTCACTGTAACTGTCCATCACTGTCCCTGAACGGACCAGGGTTCTGTTGTACATCCTCCCGAGGCTGGAAAAATCCTATTCACACGCGTAAAGCCACAACATCAGCAGCGCCTGGTCCGGACTCTTCTGCATCCACATCAACGACTGAGGCTCAGGATGAGACGCCACAGGGTGTGACGTCATATGACTATGCGCATGATGACCCCTAATCAACCAATTATCAGCAAACTGCGAGGATGGTCACAACAAATCCATGTCAATCAGCGCGCAGGTTAAATCTGTAACAACATCTCAACTGCTACAGAACTCCTTCATGGACTGTGTGAAAGATCAACATTTATAACAGAGACTGTGTGTGTGTGTGTGTGTGTGTAACAGGAATAGCTTTTTAAATTTTGTATACAAGTTGATATTCCCAGTTGTAATGCAAACACAGCTTTTGTTCTTTGTGCCTCTTAAATTTAAAAGATTTATAAAAAAAACAAACTGAACCCTTTTACTGTAAAAGGAATCTAATCGATGCATTTCCTGTCCCCATGTGCTTGATTTGGATCAATTGCAGCCTCCTGCAGATGTCACTTGACCTTTAACCCACAGACGTACATCTGCTCAGCCTGCAGGACATCTTCGTCGTATGGTGCCTTGCTCAGGGGCCCCTCTGCAGCTGTTTCACACTGTACTTTATGATAAATATCATCTGATATCTGCTAAATAAAACATCAAAATCAAAGGAGAAAAGACGACAGGGCCTCTTCATGTGACGACACAGGAAATGCCATAACGATTGTGGTCGTGATATCTACACAAACTAAATGGTTCAAAAGACGAGATGTTCCAGGATCTGGGTGACACGATGCCTCCGCTGAACAAACTCCTCGGGGGAAACCATGTTTAGAAAAAAAAAAAAAGATCGAGAAATGTCATGGCAGCTGTCAAATTGACAGAACAAAGTCATCTCAGTGCCAAAACACCTTTTCACTTATTCATCATCCTCTTTGTTCTCCTCCATTTGCCTCAAGGCCCTCTGCTGCCCTCAGGCACCACCCACTTTGTTTAAAGATCAAGTAAACCGAAGAGTAAGAATAGCAGAGCAGTTATTTCAAGTTCAAACACGGGTTCATTTATTCATGTGGAAGGAAAAAAGAGGAACGGAGAAGTGCAACTTTATTTGAACATGAAAGGATCAGAAACAAACAGAGAAACATGGAAAAAAAACCCTGTGAGGGAACAGTGAGTTTAGAGATGAACCCACAACAGAGCTGAACATAATGCTGGCACAGAAGCGAGGACATGGATGAGGCCTCAGGAAACTTCTCATTAACTAAAACTAATTATTTAACCTCTTGGTTTCCTCTAAAATAAAGTCTACTCCAATGATAATCATCTTAGGTCATGTGTTTTGCAATGTGTAATGAGTTTGAGTGTTATTAATATAAATCCATGTGTTTAAACATCGTATACTTGCACATGAACAACCCACAGAGTCGAACTGACGGAGAGTTTACCAGCAAATTGAATCGATTGGAGCGTGAGTGATGGATCAATTCCTGAGTGCCCACTGGATTACATTAGAATCATAATAAAAACTAATCCGATGAGACGTAATTCATGTCACATTTCCCATCCTGTAAGCGAAAGATATAGATTTGTCTATTTGTTGTGGAGAAAAACAGAAGCAGAGGTGAGAGAAGGATTCTGTGCAGCCTCCGACTGAATTTCATACTGTAAAATATATATTTTATTCTTCAGCAGTTTGCATCCATCGTGTTAATTTGACAGATGAATGAATTGATGGCAGATTATTAGGTGACCCTGATGAATGCAGTCCGCTATAAAAACCAATGAGTCAATATCTTTCTATTGAGCTTCAATTGTGTGCATCTGCGCCCTCCAGCACATAGACAGTGCCAGTAATGTATTTTCCACACAGTCCAAGGATCAATGGTGAATCATACAAAGAAAATATAATGACATGATTCATATAAGGGCTCTATTCATTACATGTTAACTTGCGGCATCAGTTATATCCATTTCCGAACGGGTGTAAATAACCCGATCATGAAATGGTGTTAAAACTGCATGTGATTGATTGTTGTTGATTAAAGGCCTGGAGGAGTTGAGGAAGCAATCAATCAAGTTTCCAGTGACAGTAGCTAATGTTGTATTTCCTGCATATGATACATGCTTCTTAAACAAATGGAAAATCCATAGAGAATCTGCCCCCCCCCCAGTCATATTCACACCGGGGGCTCTTTATTATTACATCCCTCAGCATTATCCATCTCCGAGACGTTAGGGTGATCAGTCACTTGATGCGTTCCCCCAAGAACACTGAAGCCTCTGCTGTACGAGAACACTTGCAGGATGAGTTTTATTAGCATCTAATCGATATCATTGTTCTGTGTATATGACAAGATCAACACTAACCAATTACTCCGTCCCCAGGCCAGTCTCTGCACCGCTGACAGGAGGCTATAACTCAGTGCACGTTAAAAGGATTAATTTCTTGTGTCGATGCTTTTGATCGAGTTCACTGGAATATGGGGCAAAAAACCTCTGAGAGAACTTTCCCTCTATGGAGATGATAACTGACTTATTTAAGGTTTATATTTTGGTTTGTCTCTCACCTTTTACAACATCAGATACCATTATATGAACAAACTGATCATTTTAGTGTCAGTGACTTTCCTCCTGTAAGTTTGAGGCGGTTGGCAAACTCTGGATCAGCGAACTGCGATGTCACAGAAGTACGGAAAGCCTCAGTGGAAACCTCTCCTGCAAATATAATCCACTCCTCCACTGTCCATCTGTACGCTCTCTGTGTTCCAAACATCCACGTCTGGGCCAGAAAAATGGCCAAACACACAGCTTTTGCCAAAAAATGTGAGAGGAATGGACGTGCATGTGCAAGAAGAAAATGGAAGCTGAGTGTTTAGCTATGTTTTGACTCAATATGGTCCAAACGGTCGTATTTTAGCCAAACCCCCAGTTGCAGTGTGTTGACAACATATTGAGCATATGGAGGGACAATGTGTTTTCACCCACTTTAGCCAAATCAAAGAGCTGGACAATGGAGACTCAGGCAGCGTGACTGCTTTGAGAATCATCATCTAAAATGAATCTGAATTTAAGGTCACCACAGCTGCTGTCGTGAGCCGTTTTTCTCCATTGCACTGATACTCATTTGGAATATTCTGCTTTTTCTTGTTCATCGTCTCTGTTGCCTGTAGACTGATAAACCTATTGACTTTGAAAAGGCAAAAACCCTTTATCTCTGTTTATGTCTGTTCATCCAGAGAGTGACGCTCCTGTTTTTTTGAATCCTCGATAAATTCGTATTTCACAGGATGTGACTGTGCATACATGTGTTTGTGCCGTGCAAATACATTTTTTATTTGTTTGAGCAAAGGTTTATATTTGGTGTGACCAGTTATCTGTGAGGCAGAGATTCTGTTGTCAGAAGTGGTGAAATAAAGACACGACAGCGCCATCCAGTGGAAAAAATAAAACTGTACAAGCTTTTTTTTTTTGACTTGCTGAATCATAGTCTGCAAAAAAAAAAGAGAAATAAATGAATCTAAATATGAGTTTAGGTGTACGTCTGCTGAGAGACAAACAAAATATTAAACAGAAATGGAATTATGTTATTATGGAAACTATAGTTACCTGCCCATACTATGACTGAAGTTAACACTATCATGAACACTGTTATTACTGCTTTTCTTTAGTACAAATGCTCTAAACATTGATGCACCTCCACTTTTCTCTGCTGCCTGTTACAAAGATCATCTATTGCACCTCTGTGCTCCCGGGATCTCTCTCTTTTCTCCCCTCACTCTAGTTAGTCGAGGGTTAAGGGCAGAGGATGTCGAACCTTGTTGAGCCCTGTGAGGCAAATTGTTAATATGGGCTTCACAAATTAAATTTCATTCAATAAACGTTACACCCACCAACCCTCTGTCCTCCAGCCATCTTGCATTTGACCTACAATAAGTTGGCATATTTTCACTTTTTAGAACTAAAGGTTTAGAGGAATTGCAAAATGTAATTTAATGTTTGACATATTGGACATTTTTTGACATATTGTTGCTGTTGGTTGCGTCTTGTTGCCTCATATTTGACATTAACGTCACAATGTGAAGATTTGCAGCCATCTTCCTCTTCTTCTTCCTCTTCCTCTGTTCATGCTTTTGTTCTTTCACCCTTCGTTTCTGTGTCTGTGATGCCAAAGCACCTACTCACCCTTCCTCCCCAGCTTTACCTGACAGTAAGTTGCCATATTTTCATAGCAGCTTACCTCTAAGACCTAAACACTTATAGGGATCGGAATGTCTGTAGACTCATTCCTCTAAAAACAATATCTCGAACAATTCAGAATAGAAACTTCGTCACCACAGGTTTCCCTCTGGAGATCTGATGATCTGATAAGATTTTGGGAGCACCTTGCTGCATTCATTTGCATATCAGAGATATACACACAGGAAAAAGAAAACCAGGCAGGTCATTATAAAACTCAAAAGCCTGGCAGCTTTCCTGAGGCAAGAACAAGGTCGGATTAAATGCGAAAGGAAAAGGTTACTTTGATTAGGCTAAGTAATGGGGAACAACAGTGAGGTTGGGGTTTTGGCAACAGCATCTGGACAAAACAAGATGACACGTCGAATGCGTCTCGTTTCCTCTGTGACCCAGAAAAAGAAAGTTTGTGTTGTCACTTCTCCCCTTGTGCCGGGAATGGAGGAGGTGGAAGAATCCGCACTCACCTCACTCCTCGGTGTCTAAAAGGAGAATATGACATCAGTGATGAAACCTGAAAAAGACGGCAGGGGAACTGCCAGCATGTGAGTGAAGATGTATAGCTGACGTTGCAGTGAGCAGTTTCAGGTTAATGTGTTTGTTCTGACCTTAATCTAAATTTAGATTTCCTATAAAGCTCATCCTGGGC